GGGAGTAGAGAGCGTAGGCTTTGATCACAAAAAATGAGCAAAACGCATACCGCCATACCGCATAGTCAGCTATAAAAGCCCCGATATGATAAATGTAAATCAATTCAAACGAGAAAACTAACGGCTTGGTTTATGTACAAAACAATGAACGAAAAACAAATATGATATACAACACCAAACGACACCCACTGAATTACAGGCTCCTGACTTGGGACAGGCACATACAGGATGTGGCGGGGTTAGACATGTTTGTAGGCCCCTTAACCTGGGACAGCGGCGCAGCAGCACAACATATGAAAAAACTATAAAAACCAGTTGAAAATGGCTCAACTCATCAGATCGTTACAAAGCAGAAAAACAAGTAACAATAACATGGACCGGAAGTGGTAGGGTATTTATACATCCACACAGCAAAAAAGACATAAGTACAAATCTGAGATTAATCGCAGTTACTGACAGCTAGTTCAAAGCCAATAACAACTAATAAAATCATCGTATATCTAAGACTTAAATATCAATTAGTACACATCTAGCATCCAATGTATTTAGTGTGAAGACGACATTAACACTGTTTGGTTAGAATCAGTCGAGTAGAATCAGAGATGGAGACGAAAGTACAAAACATTCTAGAAAATTTCAATTGGAACATTATGGCACCAATGAAATCGACAGCATCAAATTTCTAAGAAAATCGTTTATAGATGGTCATACAATCACCAATTTCCTAAATATAAAGTTTACAGCATTTTGTCTTGAAGTTTCAGAGAAGATGCTTTTTTTAAACTGGTTAATAAGAATTTTTTTAAATCATCTTTTTAAAATTCATTTTATCGGAACCAAATAAAGAGTCATTGCAGCGTGTGGTTAAAAACCGATACGTGGTTTCAGAGAAGAAGATTAAAATGTGTCCGATTTCAGGAAGTAAACTCGCGTATCTTAATATCTATCCGGACAATCTGAAAAGATACAGAACAACCAAAAAGAAATAGGCACATGAATTCACCTTGCCAAAAAATAATTTTAGGTGCAATATATCCATACCCTTTCTCCATTCTTAATGAAACAATTAATTCCATTCAAAACTAGTTCTAATCCAATTCTGTAACGTGTTTTGTAATTACAGAACTGTATTGTTCCCTTTTGTGGCCAATCAATAGCAGGTTTTTGTCTCTGTATCCAGTCTGCCTGCAATACAACATTATACATATTTGTTTAGGGGCCAGCTGAAGGACGCCTCCGGGTGCGGAAGTTTCTCGCTGCATTGAAGACCCATTGGTGGCCTTCGGCTGTTGTCTGCTCTATGGTCGGGTTGTTGTCTCTTTGACACATTCCCCATTTCCATTCTCAATTTTATTTAGTAATTGGAATGCATATGCTTTCTATATTTCCATTATTATTTTTAGCATTTACTGGACTTGTATACTTCAAGATAGAGTTTACTTTGCCTGATAGAGTGAATGATTTCTTCGAAAAAATGTTCATTTTGAGTCTCATATGAAAAAAAACTGCTATACACATTTAACATGGTTAATAAAGGGTATCCCGATTTTTGTTCTAAATCACATACAAATATCTATAAATCCTAAAGGCAACGGTAGTTTACTGTAATTTAATTCACACAATTCGATTAAGACGCCAATCAAGATAACAAACAAAAACTGAGAGACTCGCGTGAATTCCAAAAGAAGGGAGACCAGATAAATAGCATTATTTTCAATTTTAAAGAATAACCAAATGTCACTCTCATTTTTAGTGAGCTCGTGTGACCTCTGCACTAGATATGTAAACATTAAGTTCAATAAGGTACTTTGACAAGCATAGCTCGATTAAGATCCAATTCTGGATATTAAAAATTTGAAACTCAAAATGTCACGAACATTTCAAATATATTAAGATTAGTTTGGCTAAATCTATATTCATCAAAAATCAAAACGCAACTCTAGGGGTTTCTTCGAACAAATTTCAGCCAAATGCAAATACTGGTCAACGAGAAATTACTTCCACTTAGTGTTTCTATGAAAGTACGAATGACCTACCACTACACATTTTGGCATGTGTGTAGCGCACGACTAAATTATCACTGTTGTTTGGTAAAGAATTGAATTTTTCGATATTTGAATTTTTGACTCTTTATTTCTTGTTATTAAATTTAGTTTTAGTGTAAATAAAGTTGATTATGCTAGGAACATATATTTTTGTCTGCGTTTTTACTTCATCTAAATCAGGTTTATCGACATGTGTATTAGACATGAAATGATGTAGTAATGTGCTGTTTTATGAGATTATATTTCTCTGTTCTAACAAATTGAGTACATGAACTTGTCCCTGAAAAAAATATACATAGTCACCGTGAAGTTTACATTTTCATAGACAATTCCTTGTGAAACTGAGATGACATAAAATATTTGCAGTTTAAATGTTTAAGACATAAAATTTTAAGAAAACGGTTTTAGAACCGGGAAGTAATATCAATGATAATTATACAAGGATAAATTTAAAATTAGAAACGAACACCCTTTCGGTGCGAATAACGGATGGACGCCGAAGGGAGATGATCTATAATATGTCTTTTGACATGATTAATAACATATTCCTATATAAAATTCCCCGTTCATGAATTAAGAATTATTTAAAAACTAAGGTTTCAACTCCCTGAGGAAAAGTTGACCTTAGATGAATTTGACTATTCTGTTTAGGTCCTTTTTGGGTATACAGCTCCTTAAGTTGCTTTACGCACCCCTGGCTTTCAAAAGGTTAGATTTGAGCGTTCCTGAGGAAGGTTAATCCAGAAAAGCGTCTTAGACTCATAATATGAAGGGCCGTTCGGGCCATAATTCAATTTGTTACACGTACGATAGAGGTACGTGTAACAGGTCGTTCACGTACCCTAGAGGTACACGTAACACTTTGTTCACATACCCTAGAGGTACACGTGACACTTTGTTCACGTACCCTAGAGGTACACGTAACTGTTTGTTCACGTACCCTAGAGGTACACGTAACTGTTTGTAATCTTTATACCCTATGCACAATGAACTCGTCTGCTGGAGAATACTTAGCTACCATTTGATTTTTAGGGGGGGGGGCTAGGATGAAATTTGAAAAAAAAGGCAGGACAGGAGTTTTGAGTAAAAAAAAATGCAGGATAAACTAATAAATAAAAAGGCAGGACCAAATAGAGTGTAAATTAAAAGGCAGTATGACAATTTATGTAAAAAAAGTCAGGATAAACTAAAAAAAAAAAGGCAGGACCGAATAGAGTGAAAAATAAAAAGGCAGGACAGAGATTACAACTAAAAAAAAAAGGCAGGACACAATTTTTCATCCTAGCCCCCCCCCTTTTCACCCCTAAAAATCAAATGGTAGCTCCCTAATTGACCAATTAAATCAGGAGGTCAAAATTCAGTACGTCCTCTGAGAAACGTTCTAACTAAGTACTTCTAGCAGTCACTAAAAGTACCGAAAATTTTTGTGTATATTTGGTTAAAGCTTATACAAATTGCCGAACTGCATGTTTATTCCCCCGCGACGAAGGTCGGTGATGAAGAGAAAAAAAGGGGGGTGATATTGATATACCCCTTGTCCGTCCGTTTGGATATAGATACAAAAGGGTTAATGTATCGAGCTTGAAACTTTGAATCGTTCATATATTTTTCAAATGTGCTATCAAAGTGCATCTTTTCGAAAACAGTATTGGGCTTTGATTCAGGACGATTTGGGACCGTGTAAATAGATACAAAAAAAGCCTCGTTGCACAGGAATCGGAAATTTGATACTTTTAGGCGGAATTTGATTGGATAATGACACAGATAATCCATCATTCAGGGAAAGGATTGACAGGTTTCCTGTTGCTGTTAGCTGCACGAACAAACAGTTACGCTTACCTCCAGGGTACGTGAACAAACTGTTTTGCGCACCTCTAGGAACGTGAACAAACTGTTACGTGTAACTCTAGGGTACGTGAACAAAGTGTAACGTGTACTTCTAGGGTACGTGAAAAAACAGTTACGTGTACCTCTAGGGTATGTGAACAAAGTGTTACGCGTACCTCTAGGGTACGTGAACAAAGTGTTACGTGTACCTCTAGGGTACGTGTAACAAAATGAATTATGACCCGAACGGCCCTTCATTAGACGAATGAAATGTATAAAGTGTTTTTTTCATTTCATTTTGAGAGGTCAATTTATAAATTTTCTTAAAGATATATTTAAAACTTTCATTTGCTGAAAACAAACCTATATATGTTCTAACATCAACAATAGCATAATTTATTCCAATCAGAGAACAGATCGGCGACAATGAGCAAGATATAACCTTGGTTTTGCAAGATTAAGGGCAAATGTTACCAACACGAAACTATACCGACTCTCGGGAAAAAATATCTTAAGTATGGGTCCTCCTTCCCCGAAATTCCTTGAGCAAAACTTTTTTTTTTTCAACTATTTCACCATCCAATTAAGTTGTACATTCATATTGTATCACGTAATCGGTAAAGTTCAATATTAGCGAGGCGAATATTTTTGAGGAGTTTATGCCGAACAATTGTATTTGTCACACATGTATCCATCACTTTGTTTTAATGTCCTTGGAATTGAAATTTATCTTTTATGCTTCTACATGTAAGAATGAAAAGTGTGATAAGAAAAAGAAGAATGTGGAAATAGTTCAACCTGGAACCAAAACTGCGGTATAAACATCTTTCTTAAATAAGAATTTGACAAGTAAAATGAATAAAGTATTGTTAAGAATACAAGTACACCAGTTAACCATGACCCAAATAAGACAGCACTACATGTAATTAATATGAATGACTTTCAGATATCGGCAGTATTCTGATTCGACTGCCACTATCAAAAATATGAGTACATTTTTGCACAATATCAAATGCGTGTAAAATCGAATGTAGATAGTTTCTACCCTAGTCTGTCATATATTCAACAAATGAAAGAAAAGGGGCCCTGGAGTTAAAAAAAAATAGCAAAACAATTCAATACTTTTAGAAATATTTAATTTTTATTGATAAATGAATATAATCTTGCAACTCTATATACAAAAATGTCAAATGTGATCTCAAGTTACGACGTCATAACGTGTTCAAATTTTGAAAAAAGGTGTACATGTTGCACCAAAAGATATTTTACGAAAATTAACATCTTTGCATAAGTCATGTTGCAGAAAAGTATGTCTTGGTAAGCCTTTGGTTCATATGTGAACAACTAAATAGAAATGACAAGATCTAAAAATGGGGCTACTTTGGAAACTTGAAAGGAAATGTGTCAGCAACAATGCAAGAATTAAAATTGATACCTGCCAAATTAATGTCTAGTAAACTTATAAACATATAAAGGATGTGAACATATAAAGGATGTTATTTGAGATATTTGTAGTATATTTGGTTTTTCGGATCCAAAGGGCCAAAATAGGCCTTATTATACTTCTCTTTTTCCTTCTCCATCTCATACATTTTGGTCACATATAATAATTTTTTTCAGTTAGAGCATTTTCATAGTTGATGTTGATTCTTCTATAATTTTAGTATCACAACTGTTACAGCTTTGTCTTTTGATGAATACACGTATTTTCAAGGACAATGCACCTGCAAAGGTGAATTCATAATAATACAATTTTTTTTTAACTTTTCTGTCAATATATAAGATCGTTACTGTTGCCTTGATCTTCAACAAAGGTGCACTACATTCAATGAGAAGCAACATGTGACGTAGGAAATTTGATACATGTGGTTTTCACAATATTCATAAATTTACAGTACAAACATTACATAATATATATTAATATTCCGTTTAAATACAATAAAAATGCACTGTTCTAATGAGTAAAACCATTTCAATAATATTTGGAATGGTTAATGACAAGTTATAGGCCTTTCTATCTTTTAAAAATGTCTTTTTCTCAATTGTCGGGTGTTTTCATTATTTCAAACTAAACCTGCATCCTTTGCCATTGAATAGAACGTTCCATTGACATTCTTAAGAAGATTGTCAGGTTCATCAAATTCTACGATCATCCCTTTATCCATAACCATGATCCTAAAATAATATACATATATTAAACCAACGAAAATCACACTATTTTGGTATGGTTTTAACATATTCATCCGAATCATTATAAATTTTAAAACATAGATAGATATTTGTTCTAAGAAAAATACAGCTTGCCTCGGACAACATTTTCAGTATTTTTTTAGGGCTACATAGATAATTCTTATATTTTTTCCTTAACTGTGACATCACCGAATGCAATTATCATCAAATTTTTACTTGCTATGAGCAACACCACAGGTGACACCATTGGAGTAAGATATGTTTACCCTCCCCAGAAACATTATATAATCTCCACTTTTGGTGGAGTTCGTGTTGCTCAGTCGATGATTTTCTGGATGGGTTTTTTGTAACGTTTTTTTGTCTTTTCGTCGTTTTTCTTTTAGGCAATAGTTTTGTTTGTTTTTCGTCGATTTGTAGCTTGTCCCTTTGGTATCTACTGTCTCTTATTTGATAGGAGTGGGAGACATTGTAATTGTAAAAATGATACATGATTTTTTTGAAAGTGTATGTCCAGAACATATATATATTGTTATTTGTGTTATATATTTACCTGTCGTAGTCCATGACTGTATTTAATCTGTGGGCTATTGATAATATGGTGCACTCAGCGAATTCGTCACTTATTGTCTGTTGGATTAAATCATCTGTTTCCATATCTACAGCAGCTGTTGCCTCATCAAGGATTAATATATTTGTTTTGTGAAGCAGTGTTCGAGCTAAACAAACTAATTGTCTCTGACCAACACTGAATGAATAAATAAAATGCAATTGACGTGCTGAACTCTGTATTTAACTTTAACACAATTGGGTGGAGAAAACAAAAATTATCAGGCGCTCCCGTCACTTGCATATTTCCCTTTACCTATTATTGTGATATTACCAACATATATAATATTTCTATAATTAAAATGACTTAAGGATTGCTAACACATATCATTTTATCTTGGACATTACTGGTATGATAAAATCATGCTTTATAATTCATTGTACATTTAAGGGGACTGTTTAACAAAATCTTAAAAAACAACTTTCCAAATTATTGATACAGTAATTATGATTTGTTCATATTTGAAAGCTGATTTTAAATTCAAGGACAATTGTTATGTAGTGTGACTTCCTTCAAAAAGAACAACTGTCAAAGAATTAGGTTAAGTTTATACCTCTTTGTTAATTTTGTATCAACCCTGCGGAGGTGAGTTTGTAACATGGGATGATGCAACATTCCCCAAGGTTCTTTCCCCTATCATACCGAATTTATCTCTTCACTATCTATCGTAACTGGGCCAGGGCAACATGGTTGACGTTATATGTTTAGTGTGATATGGTAAAATTTAAGAGAAAGATATATTTGTTACTGAAATGCCTTGCCAAAACATTCATTTTTTCTAAAAACCAATCAACCCAAACTTTTCACGTTAGTTTTTTTCTAAAACGTGATCAGCATTATTTGCTAAAAGTCACGCGCTTTAAAAGTGTATTTTCCTCCGAAAATATTATAGATAAATGAGTTTTAGTCCATACGCCATTCTCGCAGAAGGATCAACGTTGACAAGTGGTCGATAATTTAAATGGTATTTTTTAAATGGTAGTTTTGTTTAAATTTTTATATCAATAAATATTAATTACCCAAGTAGAGTAAAAGAGAAGCGTAGCCGTGAGGATCTTGTATTGGAACACATCATTAAGTTAACCAAATTAATTAAAAGCTTACTTTCCACATGTTTGATAATTCCACGGGTGTCATTCGGTTTATCGAGAGAAATGATCGTGAGAGAATACCTAACGGTGGTCAAGCATTTCGATCGGATCGTGAATGTAATTAATTGAAATTTTACTTCAAAATCCTTTGAAAAATCTGTTGTATTTTCAAAACGCGGAACAAATCCGAAAAAAAAATTATGTCTGTCAAAATGATTCAACATTCTCAATAATACTGTGCAATAAGATTTATAAAATATGCAGAACTTTATGAGAAAACACAAAATGCGCAATACAAGTCTATGGGATTCATTAAAAAAAGAACACGTTTTGTACCTATAATGACTACATTTCAATATAGAATGATATATTTGAAACTGAATCTGAAATTGAAATTGGTGTGACAGATAATACAGTAAAATAAAAGTTTGTTTTACCTTGAAACCGTTCATTTTGTTATTAAAAACACTGAATTTTGTTGATTTTTCATTAAAATTGATCGTGAAAGATCGGGCAACGCATTATCACGATCGTGAAAGACAATTCGTGACCAGACAGACGCAGGACGTTTGTGTTTTTTTACCTTACTAAAGGACATTTGCGCTTTTAACTTTGATACACCTGAACAAAATTGACAAGACATTTGCGCTTTTTACCTATAAAAGTTGTATACCTGTAATCTTTAGAAATTTTACCAAAGTCATGGAAAGATGTTCACATATTCTTTGAAAGTTCATCCGAACAAACGAGAAATTTAGGAAAACATATTCGGGTTAACCAGACATATTATAAAGAATATAGTATATACGTTTCTGGGGGCGCATTAGATTTGCGCGTAATTTCGGGATTAATTTCTGTTTACGTTTGCGCGAAGCCTTTGCTTACATTTGCGACTATTTCAGATTAAATAGCATTCTGTTTCATTTTTTCACCGAAGGGCCCTTAATGTATAATTTGATCCAGTTTGTAAAATTACACCAAGACACACACATGGAGTTTCGTTTGTCAGAAACAAATCGGGGAGGGGGGAGGTGATTTGTGTACGATGGAATTACTTTCCGTATAGACAGAACACTAAAGTCATGGGATATTTCATAGAGATGCATAGTAAATAATTGCAAAGTTATTTCACCGGATTCCCATTTTCCTCAAAGTCTTTGGGCATCCAGCAGAATCCAAGCGTACTACGTATATTTTTTTTAGCATGTAACGACGTGTGAAATTAGTACTTTTAATCTTTAGATTTACTATTTTCTGCATTTTTGTCTGTATATTGTTCAAGGTCTAAGTGCGTGTGCGTAATAAAACAGATTCGAAAATATTAGTTGAATAGATAAATAAGTATAATCTTCCTTATTTACCTGAGTTTACCTCTAAAAGAATGCGCGCAAATGTAATCAAAAGCTGTGCGCAAACGTAATGATTTTGCGCACAGATGTAATGGTAATGCGCGCAAGTGTAATGCACCAGTTTCTCGGTAAATGATAGAGAAAACGAAACTTTTATGGATGGAATAATTAAATTTTGACCGAAATTCTTCAATAAGCTTCCTTATTAGTGGATTAAAATTGGAAACTATATTCCTCTTGTGGTTATTCTCTTGCATGGAAAGTTCGAGGAACTGTACCATCATAGTTTATCTAAGATTGTTTCAATTTGTGAAGACCGAAATTTTATTTTTTAACAACCTGCTGTACCTGTTGAATCCTGAAAGAGTCATGGTTGTTATAAGGAATTTACTCCCATCAACTCTCTTGGAGTGTTGTCGTCTTCATCTGACACAAGCATGATGGAGAAAGGTTGATGCTTTTAGTTGTAAATAAATGTATGAATTTTTTTGCGTTTTTTTTTTTTATATTAAATGATTTTTTATGTTATGTTGAGAAAGCGCAAAGGTTCTTTTTTTTCAAAGTGCAAATGTCCTAAACATTTAAGCGCAAATGTCTATTTAAAAAGTGCAAATGTCCTGTCAAAAAGCGCGAACGTTCCGCGCCGGACCAGACTTAATAATCAGAAAACAATATTTCTTTTACCAATTGATATTACCACACGTTATTCACAGAGGGGCCCACAGTGATGGCACCCATTTCAATGATGTCAATGAAAAAATAATCAGTCTGATAAATTTAAACAAATGGTTCAGCAAATAGATGTTTCTTGTATTCATTAAATCATGAAAATATGTTTGGTCTATTTCGATAATAAGGTTTCAAAATTTTTTCTCTTTCATCATTAACTTTTGAACATATAAAAAAATAGTGAAATTCATCCCCAATATCTCCTGAATTGCAAAGTTTACAATATCGATTTTCTCTAGGTACATTTTTCCATCTCCCAGTTTCGATAGGAAGTTTATGACTGAGGATCCTAAATCTTCAAAAAGTTATTATATTTTTATCATCTAGAATCTTGAAATAGTTTTACCTTTCAGCATTGTCTTTGAATAGACGATAATTAATAGCTTTTGGCGATTCTATTAAGATTGAGTGCCAATTTTGTTTAAATTGGCCAATAACACTAACTTTAAGGTCATACGATACAGTTTGGATCCCATGATGAATTTTATACGAAAATTTGCATACAAGCTTTTTTCACCTAAGCAATTCAAATATACCTTCATTTGCTACTTCATTGTACTCTAAGAGATAAAAGCGGAGTTTTGTAAAAACTTTATGAAAATCTTCTTTACATAAATATGCTCTTAATATGTATAACAATTCTTTGGAAATAATTAATTTTTAACAAAGTTTCAGGATTTTAGGGAAAAAAATGGCATTTTTTTGCGATATATCTATCAAATTTAAAAAAAAAATCATTGTTGACTTTTTTATTAAAATTGGTTCAAATAATCTTCATACGTAATCAAACCTAATGCCATCTTAAAAAAAGGGAGGTCCATGTACTCGTTTTTAAGTTAAATCAGTTTAAATGATAAAAAAAAACAGTCGAAAAATGCATCTTTTCCCGATATGTCACAGTTTGACGTCGCGAAAATAATATTTTACGTTAGCAACGTCATTACCTCCCCTGTAACTATATCGTATGCCCTTAACATTGTGTTATAACCATGTATTACTGACAAAGTACTGTACATTTCAAACATATGACAATCCACAACTATCTAGAATAGATTTGATATTATTAAACCATGGAATATTTATCCCATACTTTTTATATGCATAATTATACAAAATAACAGGAACTTTTTCTTGCTTTCCTAACAGAAGTTTCGACCAGTAATTTAAAACCCGCAATTTGATATTAATTTCTAAAGGATATCTACCAAGTTCTCCATAGATCATGAAATCTGGCGTTGACTTCTTTACATTCAACAAAATTTTACAGAATTTAAGGTGGACCCTTTCAATAACAGAATTATTGCCGACTCCCCAAACTTCACATCTAGTTGAAGCGTGTAATTATTTTAATTAGAATGGACATTAATACTTTCATTTTTTTTTTAATTCAACACTTTTCCTTCAAAGTTATTAAAATAACTAAAAACGTGTCTAGAAAAGTAGATCTACAAGATAAAAAGACCTTCAGGAGCGTAAATTTTTGAAAAAGTAAAAGTATATATGTATCTGTAATGCATAATGCATCCGCCCTGGAAATATATGCATGTGTACGTTTTTGTTTTGTTATGTTACCTTCAGTTATAAGGAGTACCATTCATGCGAACATCGTATGACAATATTGGCTAATTAATTGTTTATTTCGTGGCTGCGCTGACATAAACTAAATAGGTACCAAGATAACGTTATTTATACTATAAATATCATTGTATTCTGGTATCACCTAAGTTGAACCAAGTTATACTCGATTGTTTGATCAGTTTGTTCACAATAGCTATACGTCATTGTACCAACTTAGTGTGGAAATTACCAATCAACGTACCTCGCGATTGATTGTGCATGATGCCCTGCTTGAACTGTAATTTAGCCGATTAGGTTCTATTCTCAATCTTAAATTTGTATAAGAAATAAAAACTTATGAAAGATTGAAAATAGGACTGATATTGCTATAAGGCACCTAGTCGGTTTCGTATTATAAGATAATCAGATCCAATGGCATTGAACGATTAAAGCCCTTTTCACCAACAAAAGAGAACCGGAATGAGTCATGCATATCCGATATTTGCTATACCAATTAAAATATAAATTACAATATAATTAAATAATAAGTTGAACGTTTTCGTAGAAACAGATCTTTCACGATCCTTTTCAGGATCTTCAAAAAGCGGTACACGATCTTTCACGATCCAAAAAATCAATTTTTTTGTAAATATTTCCATTTTTGCAAAATTTCTGATTGTGCTAAACACAAAATAACTGTAAGAACCATTTGAATCATTAAAATGGAATGACATTTTTCAAAGAAAAGTTGTTTAGTCATTCGAATTTGAAAAAAATCTTGTTTGTTTACATATTAAATGTCATTGAAATGGCGAGGAGCAATCTGCCTTTTGGAGTTTTGTAAAAACGGTTTACTCTTAAACCTTGATTTTTGGCAGGAGGATTTGTTTTGAATGAGTTATTTATTTTTGTGGACTATAAGGACAGATTATTTATTTTCTGCACTGTTGAAGCATGATTTTTCATTTTCAGCAAAACAAGTGATGATTATTTATTTTCACAATTATATTTATAATATTTGAAAATACACAATTTTTAAATTCATTTTTTTATTCTTAAATAAATAACATAGTCAAGTCATTATGTATCATTTAATCCAAATTAATCATCATCCTCTGGAAGTGAATTTTCTGAATTCAAAACTGCATATATTGCATACGTACAACAAACAATATAGGCTAAAATGGGAAAAGGTATTAAAAGCGAGGTAAATGTTCATGAAACAATATACCTCAAGTGAAATGAAACCCATTTTCAGACATTTCAAAAACATTAATATTAATATATGGTGTAGTATATATATATTATTAAGAGATTTGTGAAGTTTTTCCCGAAAAAAAAATGAAAAAAGACGAATTTTGGTAGAATCTGGTGCCAATTCGTACTTTCAAACATGCATTTATAAAATGATTTAAAAGACCTGCCGAGTTACTTATTTTCAATACATTGTAGGTCAGGTTATTTATTTTCAAACTACCACAGAACAAACCATTCATTTTTGTTATTATCAAGGCTGAGTTTTTTATTTTCAAAATCCTCCTGCCCCCCCCCCCCCCCCCCCCCAGAATATCAAATGGTCGTCCCCTTACTACCAAGAATAGAATAAAATTTAACCAAATACAATTTATATAGACGTGAATACTTATATTCTTTTATTTGAATTTTAGCAAACCTTAAATTACTTCCACCTTCGCCGAGTTCTGACATAAGCTGTCCTGACTGATTCATGGCATATTCTTTTAAATGAGCACGGTCCAGTGCTTTCCATAACTCATTGTCTGAGAACTTCTCTAACGGATCTAGGTTCACTCTCAATGTATCCGAAAATAAGACTGGATCCTATGAAATATTTATTGTTCGTGTTATACTAAACTGGACAGATTTTATACACACAAAAGAATAAGTATACTTAACAACAAAATTATTTTCACTTACCTGTGTATAATATGACGCAGGTGTCTTTAAAAGTGATGATTTTCTAAAAATTGTTTGACATTTCACAGTGATATCATACTTTAACTTTGTTTAAACCTGTTAATTTACTTTTGACTTCAATTATTTACCCCTTGTAATTTTTTATTAACTGTGTATTTTCATTCAGGTGTCACAGGTCAAATTTATTCGTTCATTGTGTGTTAATTTACGTTTTTTTGATTGAGTTAAGCCTTCCAATTGATATTTTATAGTGTGTTTTTCTATGTTGTGATGTTATACTATTGTTTCAGAAAAGGGAGAAGGTTTGGTACCATTAAAACGTTTAATCCCGCTGCAAATGTTTGCACCTGTCTTAAGTCAGGAATCTGATTACAGTAGTTGTCGTCTGTTTATGTAGTTCATACGTGTTTCTCGTTTCTCGTTTTTATATAGATTAGACCGTTGGTTTTTCCGTTTGAATGGTTTTAAACTAGTAATTTTTAGGGCCCTTTAGAGCTTGCTGTTTGGTGTGAGCCAATGCTCCGTGTTGAAGGCCGTACCTTGACCTATAATGGTTTACTTTTATAAATTGTAACTTGGATGGAGAGTTGTCTCATTAGCACTCATACCACATCTTCTTATATCTATTTTCTACGTCTTTACATTTCATTGATACATTTGTTAATACATCTATTTACTCTAAAGGTGTTACAAGATACTACTACTAGGGTTTTTTTTAACGACCCTGACTACCCATGATGCTTGTCATATAAACATGTTAGGGACATCAGAAGAGATGATGAGAACCTTTGATTAAATAAAAGCAGTATTGAAATGATGATAGAAAATATACATGTATCTGAGAACTGGTTACTTGAAGGAAACAATATTTGATTAACTGAGCTATCAAATTGCTTAATAATGTTTTTAATATATTTGCATCTTATTCTAAGAGTTTCTTAAATATTTATTAAGTTCGAAGCTCGAACATTTCTACTCTATTAACCTGAGGTAGTATTGTTATCTTTCGCCTGAGGTCATGTAAACCTATTGTTGTAGTTGTAATATCATCAATAACTATCGAACCTTCTGCTGGTTCTATAAGTCTGAACAGAGCCTGCGTCAGAGATGATTTACCTGCCCCCGTCCTACCGACAATGCCTACCTGTAATTTAATAAAAAGAGACATAGTTCATATTTCATCAATTAGTTCTCGATAAAACGGCAGTATCATAGTGCAAACAATCAATTCTCGATAAAACGGCAGTACCATAGCGCAAATAATCAATTCAGTTGTCATCCCCTTTGTACTTTCCAGCTTTATTCGTCTGGTTGTGCGATTTCATAAACATACTTCCTTTGTAACACTGACTCAAAGAAACATTATCAATTGTAACCAAGATTATTGTTATACAAGAAGGATTGACTTGTTGAAGAGGCGTGTTTCAACCACCACTTTTATTTCTGAGGTGACTTTACATACAGTTTGACAGTACATCACTTATTGTTTCTTTAAAGACATTTTGAAGAGATGCTCTCATCGCTAGACATTATATATTGTATTATATGTAATTTTCATATTTGTTAAGTACCTCTGTTATTCCATATACTTAAATAAAATACCAAGCAGTAGTTTATCATTCTAATGGCATGTTTTTTTTATTTACCTGTAACAATAAAGTTTTTAAATAATTTTTTCCAGATTTGTTCACCATTTTCCCGTTAGAATAAAAATGCATTTTTTAAAAATTTATTTTATCTTTTTAATGTCGGGGTCTTTTTTATAGTGACACAAGGTTGTAACAGAGTTTAAATTGATAGTTTCTACCTTGATATCTTGCTTTGGCTACATTTTGGTTGTACAAAACTTACTTAAAAACAGTTTTAGACTTCCCAGTTACAAAATATTTAACTGATGTTGTAATACTATATGTTTATTTTAATTATCATTTACGTATGCGATTATTCTGGGTTACTATCTAATAGATATTGTAAAATATAAAATTGCCACTCAAAATATGTAGCTTTTGGACAAACGTGTCTATTACACGTGTTTTCAAAGCTCTAAATTAAATCGATCGACACACTGATAATTTACAATATCTAAATAAGCTAAATAACTTATCAATTGAGCTCTCCCAAATTGTTTTAACATTAATTATATCGATGTAACTGTTCCCACTGTCTATATCACTCTTCACAGCTCTTCATAACATTGCATATCACGGCTTTGTGACATCAAATACGTTGACCCAGACATATCACCGTCTTCATAATGAATGAACCGACGTTGATAAATTTGACCCAAACTTATAAAGTCATCTTCCGGTTTGTTGGTGAAACAAAGAAAAATACTTTTTCCTATCACGCAAAATACACACATACAATCCGATAAATCAATTATCAGATTTTCGTCATATTTATATTGTAAAATATCAGCTGCTCGACACAATATGAAGCCTGTCCCAAGTCAGGAGCCTCTAGCCTTTGTTAGTCTTGTATTATTTTTAATTTTAGTTTCTTGTGTACAATTTGGAGTTTAGTATGGCGTTCATTATCACTGAACTAGTATATATATTTGTTTAGGGGCCAGCTGAAGGACGCCTCCGGGTGCGGGAATTTCTCGCTGCATTGAAGACCTGTTGGTGGCCTTCTGCTGTTGTCTGTTCTGTGGTCGGGTTGTTGTCTCTTTGACACATTCCCCATTTCCATTCTCAATTTTATTTTGAACTCGTTCGCTGTGCTCACTTTACCAAAAGCTTCATGTTGTGACTCGCAGTTGATATTTTACAATATCAATATGCAGATAACCTGATAATCGGTACATATTATTCGTGTAACCAACTGGAAGCAGAATAGTTAAGCATCATAATTACCACGTCGGCTCAAACTTTACAACGTTGTTGAAATTCTGTGTTGAAGTCATTTAGGCGAGCCAAATATATTTGCCTTGGGCATTTTTGAAGAGACAGTTATTGTGGAAATGCCCTTCTGGTGCAGTAAAATTGGTATCGTTAATGATGTAACATCGATAATCACAAAGCCGAATATTTGGCATTGGCAACAATTGATCTACAAATGACCGATAATATAATGTATTTGTCCTTTTTTATGTAAACACGTTTGGCTTTGATCAATCTTCATGGAAAGTAAATCTGGATATATACATGGAATGGAACACACAAGAAACTACACATTCATCTTTTCCTGATTACAGCTGTATTGAATTTATTTTGATTTCTTTGAAATGTTTTCTCTTTTATCTTAACAATTCCTTGACACATAGTAGCAGTGATTCTTTGAAAATATCAATAGGAGCTTGTATAACTTACCCGTTCCCCATTTCGAATATTACAATTAATTCCATTTAAAACCAGTTCCAGCCCGGATCTATAACGTGTTTTGTAATTACAAAACTGTATTGTTCCTTTCTGTGGCCACTCTAACGGAGGTCTTTGTCTTTGTATCCAATCTGCCTGAAAAACACAATGTTTGAATACATAAATTATTAAAATAAAATTGATCCAAACACGCATTTGTTATTGTCAAACATAATTATAATCAACAGATGCTGATTTTCTTTTATACATACAATTTTTATGTCGAAACAGGCATACCTGCATTTGTTGGAAACCATACGGTGACATATAGTTGTTAACTTCTATGTCATTTTGGTATCTGGTGGAGAGTTGTCTCATTGGCAATCATATTACATCTTCTTATTTTTATATTTTGCTACCCTTTTTATATTCTATAATTCATCTATCTTTCATATATAAGCTCGTATTGTGAAATATACATGGTGGAATAAACTTACCTCAGGAGGTAAATGCGTATATTCTTCACATCTTTCAATGGATACTACGTTCATCTGCATTTCACTCACTCCTCTGACTACAATATTCATAGCAATGATTATCTGAAATAATAGTAATACTCAGGTTTAATGAGTAATGGATTACCAAATGAATTGAAAACAACGTTCAAACCTATGATTGCGTTGGATAAAAACCGCAATTTTTATACGTGTGCATGCAAAACAAATTTCTTGTTAGAGGGGTCTAAATACAGCACAAACAACATTTTCCAAAAGACCAAAAAAGTGAAAAAGTATATTTTAACAAAACGCATTTGACTAACAGGTCGAACAATATATATATATATATAAGTGCCTATAATATATATATCTTTCTATTATCAGTCCAACAGCAAATTCACAGCTTTGATAAATTGCACAAAACTGCCACTTGCAGGAAATTTACTTTAGCCCATTAACTAGATAACTTGAACAAAAGTGTCACTAGCAGGAAATTAACTTTTGCCCATTAACAAAATAACTTGAACAAAATTGCTACTAGCAGGAAATTAACTTTTGCCCTTTAACTAAATATTTAATTTTTGCCCTTAAACTAGATATTTAACTTTTGCCCTTTGACTAGATATTTAATTTTTGCCCTTTAACTGGATATTTAACTTTTGCCCTTTAACAAGATATTTAACGTTTGCCTTCTAACTAGATATTTAATTTGGTTTAGTCCTGTTTCTCCCACTTTTAATTACCCTAATTGTCAAACAGTTAAACAAACAAAAATGACAAAGGGCTTACTGACCATAACATATTATATATAGTCTGTTCCAAATATTTCAACAGATAGGTGTATAAATGAATATAATTTATGCAATCTACATGGGAAAAAAAATGTTTATTTGAGTTTTTTTCGTGGAAAGAAAATGTAATTTATTGTGTTTTTTATCAAATAAAAAGTCAATTAATTTCTTATTTGATTGTTCTATTTTTAATGGTAATAGGCAATTTCGTGTGGTTTTTTTTATACTTTTTGTACTTATTTTCCTCTTCTTGTTATTTGTTTGCATAACAACAAGGCTAACACTATATATGATATTTTTTTAAATAAAGTCATATATAGCACTAAAAATCATAACATACATTGCATTGACATAATTCAAAATACAGCACATGATCGTTGACAGTGAGCATTATAATTAAATAAATTATCAGTCTTTAATTGAAATATACATTGTAATATTACAAAACGTCATCTTTCAATATAACAGTAAGCATAATACTATAGTATAAATCAGTTTAAATGTAGAAGGTAGGATAGTTGATAACATCTATCTGGCCTTGTTGGTATCTGTCTTTGAGTAGCTGTAGTCTTGTGTTCTTAACTCTGTACTTGCGTCTTGTTGGTTGACGGGCACCTCCTGCAGCATACTGGATTATAGTGCATTCTCTGAAGGCCTGGGTCTTCTGTGGGCGTGCTGCACTTTCTTCTTTATTTTGTTGTGCCATCCTTATAGGTGGTTGGTTGTACAGGGTCCTTCCGTCTAGAAATGGTTCCATAAGAATCTGTGGCCTTCAACCAAATACTCTGTCACGTAGTGTGTAAAAACTGTTGTGTCTGGGACGTTGTCAGCTTCACCAATGTCTTCCAATGCGTTGAGCCAAACATCTTCAACCTGTTGCTTTGGGACGAGTGGTAGGCCTGTTGCTCTTCTAACTAGTTGAGTGATGTCGTCGTTCTCCTTGTAGTAGGTTTGAAGTCCGCATTTCTGTGCCTTTCTCCAAATTCACTGGGTGAAGTAGAAGAAACAACCCTTAACTGTTACCCCTGGGAAAACTGTACATGCTGCATTCTAGGTGGCTGTCTCGTAATCGATAATAATTGTGTCAGTTTGGAGTCGAAGTTGGTGCTGTTCTACTGTGTGTTTGATGTGGCTGAAGAAACGTATGTAAACAGTCTCGTATTTCCCTGGTAGTAAGCCAAATACAAGTGGGTACATGGATCCATCAACCATAGCATGAATGGTGTACATTTGGTGAAATAGAGTCGGACAAGAGTAGAAGGTTCCATCACAGTCACTTATTATTTTTAATTAATCTTAAATCTTAATTTTTGGTTATACATGTATATAATGATAAGAAAATATCAAATTGTATTATTCAACGAGAAAATATCAAATGGTATTATTCAACAAGAAAATAAATAATTTAAGCAGATGTATTTGGTAACTTCTATTTTTTTTCTTAAAAAATAATTTGTACTATTATAACATAAAGACATAAAGACTTAGGCGAAAAAAAAGTCTTTGCAATTTTTTTAGGTATTATTCCACAAGAAAATAAATACACGAATAACAGAATCCTTATTTTATTATTAAAAAAATTCACAAATGTATTTTACTAAATAATTTAAGTACATGTTGTTAACAACTTCTATTTTTTTTCTAAAAAAAATATTTTTTGTATTGTGAAATAAAGACATAAAGACAATTTTTTAAAGTTTACAGGTGAATTACAGGTACACAGAATCAGAACAATTTAGAAACAAACTTTAATTACTAAAACAACAAATACCCCAATCTTTATATAGGCATGTAATTAAAAGTGGGAGAAACAGGATGTCACCATTTAATTTATATCTGCGATTGCTACCATGATCGGTTATTTTGTTATGTTAGTAGTGGGCTTACTTTATTTTAGATTTTTTATTTAACAGAAAGGAAGAAAAATCAAATTGAATAAATTCTGCAAATCCGCTTTCACTCTACACTTTTTTAGAGAGCGAATGGTGACAATGACAAATACATATTAACAACCACTAAGATCTTGAAAGGATTCGGGGATGTAGTATGTTTTTTACAAGGTACACACTTTTTTAACATAATGGTATTATATGACGCAGATGAAGAAACCCTGAACATACTTTTCACTTTAAAACCTGTACATTTAGACGAATATTAATTAACAAAAAATTTTGGCAGTGCTGCAAATAAGAACATGAAAAATTAGAAAATTTTCAACAGTTTAAATCGAAGGTCATGTCCAGGTGTTTTCACCACTTTCCTGATTTTGAAACCATTCCAACCAGATTTTTTGTTATTTATACTTATTTTAGTGCATTTCAAGGCCTAAAATAACTGAATTAAAATTCCAGGCTTCTTCAAGTTTGTAAGGTATATTAATAACCCTGTTTATAAAATGATTGTAATCTCATTGTTCCGCAAAGGGATAATGATGCCAAAGGTTGAAACAGCAAAATATATAAAACTAGGATGCATTTTGCTTTGTCTGCTCATAGTAAATAACATTTTAAAATAGGAAAGTATGTATTTATTATTCTCATAAAGGTAAATAGTATGCACAATGTCATTGCTGCATTCCATGGAAAATGCTTTGGTATGATCTAAACTATTTGAATTGAAGGTTTCAACTAATAACATGCAATAGTTCTAATACTTTGTTGATAGATCGTCTGTTAAAGCTATCCTTAGACATTAGAAATTGGGTCTTTGGTTTAAATTTCCTATTACTTTCTGTTGCAGTAGCCATTGTTAGTAACGAATTAAGCAATCATAATAGAACAATATCAATGTGGAGTGTTGTAAGCAACTTTTTTACAGAAAAAAACTGCGTCACATCAAAATAGAAATTGTTTTAACGTGAATCATATAATTACCTGAACAGCATACGTTAATGCTAGTCCGATGTCCCCACCGTTTACATCAGTAGACATAATGCCAAACATCGCGACAGCTAAAAGAATTAAATTCCCCAATAATTCAATGAAAACACTAACCCATCTGTAAAAGAGATAAAAATAATGTTGTATCGTCAACCGTTTTAGAAAGAAATTATTGAGATGATACTTACATTTGTATATCCTGTTTCGTCTTAAAGAATGCGGAGTTTGATTGTTTATCTTTTCTTAACACAATAGCTTGCACATGAGAACAATTCAATATGAGAGTAAAAATTGGGCAAACAGAATTGATGCAAGACGTAAGAAATCTTAAAGGACACGATGTCAGTTGTATTGACTTTTTTATGTCTTTGGGTGAAACTAAATGTAGATTGGAGATCTTATATAGTCACTGATCATTTATTATTTTAAATTTGTAGACTAAGAAAGATTTAGAGCTTGACTTGTTATATATGCACCTGCCAATATATTGTTGAAAACCGTATGTTAACTCTAGATGCCGTTTGTTTTTTTGTGGCATTATGTTATCTCATTGGCGTATACCTCACATCTCCATTTCTTAGTATTGCTGATTACTAGAATCCGGGTTCATAAGTCTCGATATTATGTTCAATGGCGATACAAATCTTCATTTAACATGGTAAGAAGAAGCTTGATTCGTTTTAGAAGCTTGTAGAGAGATGCATTTTATCCAATTACTGCAAAATAATATGCCCTTTCCCTAAAATTCAAATAATGTTTCATCTTATGTTTACGCTCACGAAGTACTGATGCTCACCCCATCCCAACATTGGCTGCATAATAGAAAGTCGCATTAGTATCTAAACGTCTATATATTTCTTCTTTAAATCTGTTTACTGATTTGTAAGCCCGAATTATGCTTGCACCAGATATAGTTTCACTGAAATGGTTAAATACAGGTGACCTAGTAACAGATTCTATCCTTTTAAGCTGGCGAGCGGAAGGGATGTACAGTTTCTGTGAATAAAGAAAATATCGCTTAAAATATTTAAAACATGATAAATCATAACCTAACTAATAACATTAACTGTACCAAATGCGCATTTCGACAATACATGTATCTTCAGTGATGCTCGAGGCCAAATTATTTGAAAATCTAAAACTTGTTAAAAATATGAAGAGCTTATAAAGCAAAAAGGACAAACAGTATAGCCAAAGCCGGGCAAGGATTCAGCTTTGTATGAGGGAGATAATTTCCTTAACTTAAAATAATTTTCAAAATTTTGTAATAGCAAATCTTAATAACACATCATCCGTCCGTATTGGATAAAATCATATGATTGAATTAGTTGTGATTACTGCACAATATTTTTCATTAACGCGGAAACAATAATTCTTGTTTTACAATGACTGTTAAAACATAACTCAAAATGCATATACTACTATTGTTACTTTTTCTGAAATGGAACAACTTTCCACCTGGGTACATGCATGGTATATCACTTTGCATATATATATATATGTAGTATGGTTATGATTCTTTTTTAAATATTTTTCGAATCTGTTTTGGAAAAGCCGTCATCAATTATTTTTCTTCAAATGCGTTTCTTCTACAAGCATATTTTTATTGAGAATAGTTCTTTTCGTTTAGAAGATTTATACTATAAAAACTTATCAGAAATATCAGGAGTCTTTTCACATATAAATCAATTATCTGCGAATATTTTGTCCTTAACATTTTTAAGTTAATCGGATAAATATGAGACATTTCAGAAAGTTTTCTCAAATAATCTAAATATCATATTCCATATTCCTTATGGGATATAAATCTGGACAACAGTAGTTGAACGATGTTCAAATCTCATAAAGGGGATAAATCAATGTAAGAAACAAAAACTGGGGGAATCACGTGAACTACAGAATGGGCTAGTTCAAATGGTGTGTCGCTTTTAGTCGTTTTTGTGTAACGAGTACATTCCTGGTAATGAAGTCAGTATATTGTGAACATGCACGAACGTTAAGTATCAATTGAGATTTATAAAAACCATACGATAGGGCAGATGGTATTTTATTGCTGAGAAATGAGAAGTTGACAATTGGAAAGTTGAAATCATCTCCATTGTCATTGGTTCTAGTTTAAAGACATCTGTGTCAATAGTGCGAAAACGATCAAAATATGGAGAAGAAATTCTAGTTTCGGTAGTATCCGCACTCACTGGAGTATAAGATTTTCATAAAATCAGACGCATATTTTCTCTTTACAGTTCGACATAAATTGACATACCTTCAAGCAACATTTTGTCAAGACATTTTTCCTAACTTTTGAGGTTTTTCTTGTTGTCTTTGTTGAATTTCCAGTGGTCGAAATGCATATAAGCTAAAACATTACTTTACTATAGAAACAAATAACCACAATATACAATCAATGGGTTGGTATGATCACAACCATTGCTTTACACTTACAATAACAATAATGTACAATATTAACATTGGTATGATGACAGCCACGGATAATGGTGTAGCCACAACTATAGCGATTACTGTGCCAATAAGTATAAATCCCATCACTGCCATAGTGCGGAATGTTCTTGGAAATCTATCATCCATAATATCTATATCGCTGCTGAAACGGTTCATAACCCTGCCGACAGGAGTCGTGTCGAAAAATGACATTGGTGATCGGAATATACAGTCGAGGCCTCTGTCATGTAGATTACCAGTTGCCTTAACGAATTTTGTAAATGCTACTATTCCAAACAGGAATAGTGCAATACCTGAAATGGACACTTTAGCTTTAAACAAAACTATCGAAAAGTAATGCAAGTAAAATTAATTGATTTTAAAAATGCGTATTCCTGATGGATGAAGTGTTCATTAGTATGTGAAAGTATTGAATAAATATGCATGTAACAGGAATGTGTTTAGGCTACCATTACATATATTATATGCGTCTTGTCGATACTTGTATTTAATATAACGTAAGGTTATGCTTTTCAAGAACGCTAATAACGTCTTTCGCCTTATTCGCTGGAGTTGTACAAATTAGTAATAAAGAACTGGAAAACATTTCTATTAATTAGCCTCAGACATGACGAGTCCTCTTAGGCTGTTACTTTGTGTCTTTTGTCATTTCGAGTCTTTTGGTTAATAGTCTATTGTTATTGTTACTGATATAATGCGTCTAGTCCTTTTTCAACTGAATTTGACTGTTTGTTCTATTGTTCTGTTCTTTTACTGTTTGATTTAGGTTTTATCAGTGTGTTACTCTGTGCTTTTGTTAGGTTATTTAGTGCTCTTCAATTCAGTATTAAAACGACATTTGTTTTGTATTGAATTAAGCGCCATTGATGAGTTTTATGAAGACGAAACGCGCGAGTGGCGTACCAAAATATAAGCCTGGTGTCTTTGGTGAGTTTTTACAACCATCGTTCGATGCCTCTGTCTGTGGAAGTTTCGTTCTGAAGGGTATAACAAGCCCCATGTTGACATAAAAAACCATTTGTCACTCTGTGTAAATAAACTGTTTATAAAATGTCAAATTATCCGAAACAATAAGGTTTTCTACCCAAGCATACGTGACCTTAGACTAAATGGCACACATTTTCGGATTTTTAGTGCTCCTTAACCTTGTATATATGGTCATCCTACTACTTTGAACGAGCATCGTTAATGAGTCTTATGTAGTCTAAAGCCGAATCGAATACGAAATTGAAGAGCATTAAAAACCAAAACTTCCAAAGCATTGTGCAAAATACGGCTAAGGCGATCAATGTCTTGGTGAAGACAAACCTTAGTGTTTCAAATAATTATACATTAGATTAGAGAAAATGACTATAAACTAGTCTTCAGTAACTGAGAGTACTCTTAGATCGTTTTTTTTTGTGTCTTTTGTCTTATATTAGTAAGTTTGTTTTTTCTGTTTATTGGTTTTTTGTTGTTTTTTTTTGGCGTAGTGCCAATCTGATGAGGTAAGCCGTTTTCATACTGTTTTTTTTTATCATTCTATTCTTAGGTAGTGTTGTTACAACAATTTTTCCAGATAAGGGGAGGGTGGGGCGCTCACAAACATGGTTAACCCCTCCACATTCTGTATCCAAGTGTATATATGTGCCTATCCTAAGTCAGTAGTCTGTAATTCAATAGTTGTCGTTGGTTGCTGTCTGTTATATCTGTTTTTTGTTTAAAGGTTTTACACATTTTGTGGCATTTTATAGGGAACGATACGGTATTGGTTTTACTCATCTTTTAGCAACTACTTTTAAGTATATTGAAACAACAATTTCTTGACTTATGAGGTGTAATAAAACATATAAATCTTTCTTTTGGTCCTCCGCAGCAAAGTGGTTTGCGTAGCTTATAATTAATGGGCGTTCACCGTCATAGTTTTTTGTAATGCCTCATTTCTATTATAAGTATATATATGCTCAACATTTCATCATATCATTCAAATATTGTTTCTTGTATATATATTTGTTGTGAAATCCACGAACACTAGCTAGAACAGTTTTATTCATAATTTTTGACATTACATTACTAATTGGAATAGAATATAACTTTTCCCTTGAGCTTTAATTCGTAAGAAATCATCTAATACTACACGTATATTTTGACTTTAGACGACGTTACGAGCATACCGTCAGGACCAAGTAAACGCTATATTACCGAAAGATCTATTTTCCTAAAATTGATGGTATATATTTTTTTTGGTGTAAATCACTAAGACCCATAATTTAAAAACCACAAATAGCAGATATAGTGGGCTGAATTAAGAAAATGAACACATAATTTAGCATTTAGGTCACATATCAATTTAACATACAATTTTTATAAGTACATAAATATCAAATCGTTAAAACAATATTTGAAAGTAATGCACTTTTTATGTATCTATTCATTCGTTTAGAAATTATGCATTTTATATAGATATAGGAAGATGTGGTATGAGTGCCGATGAGACAACTCTCCATCCAAGTTACAATTTATAAAAGTAAACCATTATAGGTCAAGGTACGGCCTTCAACACGGAGCATTGGCTCACACCAAACAGCAAGCTATAAAGGGCCCCAAAAAATTACTAGTGTAAAACCATTCAAACGGAAAAACCAACGGTCTAATCTATATAAAAACGAGAAACGAGAAACACGTATGAACTACATAAACAGTCGACAACTGCTGTAATCAGATTCCTGACTTAGGAAAGATGCAAACATTTGCAGCGGGATTAAACGTTTTAATGGTACCAAACCTTCACCCTTTTCTGAAACAATAGTATAACATCACAACATAGAAAAACACACTATAAAATATCAATTGGAAGGCTTAACTCAATCAAAAAACGTAAATTAACACACAATGAACGAATGAATTTGACCTGTGACACCTGAATGCAAATACACAGTTAATAAAAAATTACAAGGGATAAATAATTAAAGTCAAAAGTAAATAAACAGGTTTAAACAAAGTTAAAGTATGTTATCACTGTGAAATTTCAAACAATTTATAGAAAATCATCACTTTTGAAGAAACCTGCGTAATATTATACACAGGTAAATGAAAATAATTTTGTTGTTATGTATACTTCTTGTTCTGTGTGTATAAAATCTTCCGTTTAGGAATACCAAGAAATTTCTTTAATATCAATAAAACTAATCTAACACTTGGTACATATGGGGTGAATATCAACAACAATAAAAATATTCAATTAGTGCTAGATAAAACTTCCTGTACAGGTCCAAGAATAGCATCTAAGGAAAATTGAAATAATTTTGATGTTCATAGTTCGAAGAAGTGAAAATTTGTAGTAATTAAATACCAAATAATCAAAGCTGGTACATAGACAAAATCCATGTTAACATTATATAACAAAAAAGCATTACAAATAGTATCAACAGGTCAAATTAAAAAGAAAGTACGATTTGAGAGTACTCGCAGTTACTGACAGCTAGTTCAAAGCCAAAACAATTAATAATAAAAAATCCTGCATCAGAGACTAAAATCAACTAAAATACATCCCAGGGATTTAGTATTTTAACGTCATGAACAGTCAAAGAAGACATGACTTGTGCAATGCCAAAAATAAATGTATCGACAGGTAGTAGGATAGTTAGGAGTTACTTCTTTATAGATAAAAATGAACGTGTGTGTGTCTCTATACATCCCGTTTGAAAAGAAAATACAAATTTAGTATATACGTCTTACCTTGCAAAATTCCAAGAAGAGCATACATGCCCAGGTAGTAATATTTTTTGTCTGCATATTTCTGGGTATGGATCAAAGACGCATTTTTAAGGTAACTGTCCTCTGTCCAAAAAGTTATCCAAACGTTTTGATAGATATTCAGTCCTTGTTGTGTTACTAAGGCTATGAACACTATGAAAGCAGCTGGCAATCCCATAGCTTTAGCATATTCTATCAAAACTGATAATTTGACCTTAATAAAAATCAAACAATCCTAGTTTTATAGCATAACCAAACCATGGGAAACTAAATGTAAATTAATATAAAACTGCATTGCATTACTGCTGTAAATCAAAGTTGTAATTAACAGAATGGTATGAAGAATTCAAATAACTTAAATGCTACAACAACAAACAGATTGTTCAATGTTCGGTGTTTTTATGAATTAAAAACTCTTATCAAAGTTTGATAGGAAAAAAAAACACTTTTCATCACACAATTACAGAATAAAAGTCTTATCATGCCTTATAGGATAAAACTTTAATCATACCTTTATAGAAATAAACTATAATCCTGCCTTTATAGAATAAAACTCTTACCGATCCTTCTTGTGCGGTTTCTTCCTGAATGAGTTGGCCTTCTACACCCACAGCTAATGGTGGATCAATTTTTGATGACTGTCTGAATAATTTTGCTTTGGATTCCCGTCTTGATTTTGATTGCCGCCTGGTCATTGAGGCTGCTATCATAGTCGAAGATAGACTTCCATCTGTTTTTATAGTACTGTTTTGTCTTGAAAGTCGTCTAATTAAAGGCAATAAACACAAGAAAATTATAAACGTTGTTCAATCATTCCATTTAAAACTTCGAAAACAGTTAAGGTGGACCCTTGTAATAAACGATCATACGTAGAAAAAATTTAGTATATTCGTTTAGTTGAACCCTTGTTAAAAACGTTAGTGTATTAGTTCAGGTGGACGTCTAACAACATCTGTGATTTAAATCTGTTTAAATTATTGATTCATGTAAAAATAAGGATATGTGGTATGATTGCCAATGAGACAACTATCCACAAAAGTTCAAATAAATTGATGTAAGCAATTATAGGCAAGTACGACCTTCGACAATGAGAAAAACCATACCGTATAGTCGGCTATAAAAGGCCCCGACATGAAAAAAATGAAACAATTCAATAGAGAAAACTAACGGCCTACTTTATAACAAACAATTTTCGAAAAAAAAATATGACAGACATGAACCAACGACAACCACTGAACTACAGGCCCCTGACTTGGGGCAAGCACTTATAGAAACATGATTAAACAAAGTATTTTAACATTGTTGTAATGTCCTTTGTTTTACATATTTAGGTAATTAATGAAATATTTAAACAAAGTTTTTTTTTTAAATAAATATCACAAATCGTTTCATTTAGTAGATCTGCACGATTTAAAACAAAAACATCTTGTTTAGAAACAACGGCTGATTCTGCAAACAAAATGAAAATACCACTTTATACATTGCATGCGTCCGAAGCGCTTTTCTGGGTTTACCTTCATCAGGAACGCTCAAAGCCAAATAGTGAACAGCCAAAGGTTTATAAAAACAAAAAGAGTTGAAGAGCTATATGACCAGAAAACACCAAAAACAATAGCTAAATTCATCTAAGGTCAACTATGCCTGAGGTAGTTGAAACCATATTTTTAGGTATTTCTATTATTCATTATACAATTTTGTGAATACCAATAAACACCACCCTAATCCATTGATTTTATTTAATTTACCCTTGTTCTCTTAACGCAATAGTGTATAGTATAATATTTGCTTTTGAGTTAATACTTCGTCATTAATCTGTTTTATTTTTCAACTTACCTGAAAGATTGTCGCCGAGATAAACCTTCTTGTATAAAAACGTTGTCATCTGTTGTAAACCCACCATCAGACGTCACAACTTCTACCTGATCCCAGAGATCATCTTTTATTTTACTTACTGAAATTGTAAGAACATCATGCAAATTCTATTTTTAACATTTCAGTACACAAATCACCGAGGCTGGTTTGTTTGGAATTATTTCAAATATTTTTTTTTAAGGAATACAATATTTTTTTTTTGATAGGTTTCTGTAATCTAATTTTTAAATAATCACAATTTTATTCAACAATACCGTATGTTATTGCAATTGATATTAACAATTTAATTACATTTTACTATCATGCATATAAATTTAAAAGAGGTGTCAGTCTGGATAAAAGATCTTCCAAGTACATATCCAGATGGCCTCAATGGCATCAACGTTCAAAACCTAGCACATCAAAAAAAAAAATTTTTTTTTAGATTATACAAAATGTAGCTTGTAGTGTACTTTTTGAATTACCTCAGCTTTCCATTCTAAAAATATGTTTCTCTTATTTACATCGACAAAACATAATAAACATCGTTTTAAAGTGAAATATGATAATTGATTGTTAATTATATCAATTAACATTTTTTTAAATGTCTAATTTTCCGAGACTAGTGCGTCAATACTTCGATAGTTCTGAACTACCTATTCTATCTTGCAACGCAGACAATACATCAACTCAACTGGAACAGTGAAAATTTGAGGTTTAGATGAATATTCCTGGTGAAGTAAATCCAGAAATGCGATTAGGACGCATGTCATTTATAAAGAGTTGTTTTTATATGTTGCAGTACTGGGTCGAGACTGTTGCTGGTGGACTATCAGTCCCGAGAGTATCATCAGCTCAATGGTCAATACTTCGGTACTGAAATGATTTATAACAAACCTTTCTTAAATTGTCCGTTTATAAATTTATAAATTATTAAGAAATAAAGGTTTCAACCACCTCAGGCAAAGCTGACGTTTGGTGGGTTTGTCTATAATTTTAGGTCCGGCTTTTTAATAATTTTTCGGTTCTTATACATTATGGTCTTTCAGATATTTGGCTTTGAACGTCCTTGGCGAAGGTTAATACAGAAACACGCATCGGAAAAAATGTCAATTGTTTAGACCTAGATAAAGGAGTGCATACCAACATCATTGAAAGCACCTAAAAAAGTCACAACCGAAATATGAAACGATAAAATTGCTTTATGATATGTATTTCAGCCAATACCATGTGCGAAAGAAAAATATATTTGAATTCGACGATCAATTTTCTGTCTCAATAATCTTATTAAGAAAGTAAAACCAGGCACCTTTTATTACATCAGATAGAGTTGAATCATTTCCTTATGTTATTAAAAAAACCTTCAGTACTACACGAAGTAACGAACATTGAGTTCTTCTCTAGATGGATCTTTTCAAGATAGATTAAAAATACTTGAATCGACTTACTATGTTGTTCAAAAACACAATATTCCTACCCGAAACAATATCTTTATCACAGTTCGTAAATTGTCAATTTGAAACGGCGAAAAATATTGCAAATTTCCTAAAAGACTGTTTACATTCCTGCTTAGCAAAGCACCCTAAGTTTAACGGCCATGCATCAATTGTTGTACTTTCTCACTTCCGAGATTGTCGACTTTAATTATCAGAGGCCAGTGCCTCAAAACGAAGTTACCTATTTCATCTTGCGAAGCAGAAAAATATTATTTGATAATACATCAATTAACTGTGGAATTGATTTCAAATTAATATCTCAAAATTTTGAAACAGTGAAAAATCGAGGTAAAGACATGATGCATAAACCTATGTTGTCACCGAAGACATTAGTATTTTTCGAGACAAAAAGTTATGAATTATCTTAAAAAGGAATCTAAATAGCGCCCATCTTGCATTTCTACAATTGAGGTTCTTCGGGAATGCTGGCGGCTAAATAGTTGAATATGTAAAACCGTTGAAAGGCTGATTGAACCAATAAAAGAACAAAAGTATAGCCGACCTGAACAAGGAATCAGAGCTATGCATGAGGGAACTACATTTCTCAATTAAAAATGATTTCCACAATATCATATCAGAAAATTTCAATAAAGCAATACCCAATACCGAGGTGTTAGCTGTGTTTCTTTGGGGGTCCGTTTGTCACTTTGTGACGCTTGTTTACTCTTTATAAGACACTTCTACATCAGCTTATCAAACAATAATAAAATTTATAAATTGCTCTTTCAATATTGTATTGTTTAGGTTTGACAATAACTATCGTAAACAATGGGAAGTTTTACTAGTAAAATGAACTTATAAGAATTGCAATGGAATATAAAAAGAAATATTGGTTTGTTTGAAAAAAAAATCCATATTCATATTCATGTATTTGTCAAAAAATAGTGTGTTACTGTTATGCATTGCAATTAGTGGCTTACTAAAAAAAACTCACAAAACACAAGTTTATGTTTTTTAACAATACTTTCAGATATAAAGACGAAATAATATCTCAAATTAATCCAGATTTTTTATAAGATATCTGACATTTATCTAGTTCAACTTAATCTTTTTATCTATCGATTAAGGGACCAATCTTATTCACTTTTGTATCTTATCATAAGAGTTTCTGACGGTAAATATGACCATTTTTATATCATCGTTTTTTTTCCTTTCCTTGATGATGGCGTCATCTTCAGGGGTGCAAATGTTTTGTTAAATCGACATGCACGTGGTTGCACTTACGACTTACGCTTACATTTCAACGTTATGTTGCATAATTAGACACTTTTAAATCAGGGATGTAGTATCATTAAACTTTAATAACATTATCAATGGATCTATGTAAATGATCAGAAGAATCCTGACACATAGAAATTTTCATAATTTTGGTCAAAACTTCTACGAAGTGCTATCACAAAATTAGACACCTAATAATGAGTATAAGAAGAAGACACTTCACCATTCTGCCTGTTAACTGTGCGTTTCAGTTAGTCCCAGAACGTTAAACATCCAAGTTTGAAAGCAGGATAAATTCCTTTCTTATTTACATATTACCGTCCTAAAATGCATGCAATATTACCGCTATCCATGAAGCGGTCAATAACCAAACAATCCAAATTTTAGATTTAAGAACCACTGCCGACAAATATATTTCCGAATTGCACAGATTCATCTACTTCGTAATTTGCAAATTTGAATTGCAAATTTATTGAAAAAATGCGATGTTATAGAAATGCTTGAAAGTTTGGGATATTTTCATTTTTAAATGTTTACAAAATATTCATCTTACTTTCGTGGTCATCTTCTTCGTCCAGTGATTCATCTTGCAGGAGATACACTTGCAGAAATTGTGCAAAAGGGCCGTTATGTTGAACGAGCTGTTGAAAAGTGCCTTGTTCTGATATACGACCATTATCCATGACTATGATTTCATCTACTTTAGGTAACCAGTGAACCCCATGTGTAACCAAAATCCTTGTCTGAAGAAAGTATTGCATCGAAGGTTTACTTATAGTTTGAATGCATTAGAAGTTGTAACAACAAATTCAATTAATACCGTATAAAATATCTCAAACAGGTTTACATGAATAACTGGCAATACAAAACTATCATATCAGCTATCTCAAATTTCCTTAGGGAATTCATTACTCGTATAAAATTAAATGTCTCTGCATATATTCAAACATAATATACATATTAAATACAAATTGTCCGGGTATTTCTTTGAATTGCAAAACATTCCAAGATATTTTCCTCTGCTTGATATACTTAAAAGATATTACACTGGTTGGTACTTCTCATCTTATATTACTTGTTTATTTTTTTTTAAATCCCTTTATTTTACTAAGGATGAAATATTGTCTCGTGTAAAGTTCTACTTTTCCTGTAGTTATTACTAAAACATCTCACCTTATTTCTCAACATCCCATCTGGTCCAATGACCTTTTTGAATAAATCTTTACCAACGTGTGAATCGACAGCGCTAAGCGGATCATCAAACAAGTAGATGTCGCAGTTACTGTATACTGCCCTTGCAAGGTTAATTCTCTGTTTCTGACCTCCGCTGACGTTGATTCCCTAATACAGAGAGTTATATCTAAAGGATTCATTCATCAATAGATTGCTGCCATTGATGGATTAAAAAGTATCAATACAGAAAATATAGTAGTTATGATTGAATAAGCGTGTTTTAGTACACGTTATTACAAATTATGAACACAGCGATACTTCACAATAATACCTGCTACTATAATCAGAGGTATTAAACAGTAGTTATACCTTATTTCTAGGTTGGTGTAAACAAAAGATAGACATGAGTATAGCCATAAGTACAAAAAGTGAAGAAAGCAAGATTTAGCACACTCCAGTTATTTACTTTCATTGAATCAAGATTGCGTATGTTTTTCAACGAAACTCAACTATCTTAAAGAGATTCCGGTCTAGTAATTGGAAAACAAATGGTATGCAGTTCCTGTTATGTTTGTGATATTTATCGATTAACTTATAGCCGAAATCTCGACAAATTAGTGCAGAGGTAAACAAAAGCACATTAACATAATTTTGTTCTCGAATTATTACAGCGTAAACATATCCTTTTTTTTAAGTTTTGACAATGACACGTCATAACGATCATTCATATCGTGATTGGAATGGACGACCTTGTGTGGATATTAATCGTTATTTCTCTAATCCTTGTTTGAGTGTTTAAGTAGAGTTTACATCTAAGAGTCAAATTGCCAGGAGGAGAGGATGCTCTACCTAATTAATTAAGGTATACAAACTCAATATAGTGAAACAGATGTAAGGTTATTAATCAATAATGGGAACTTGTCAATGCTAAAACTGTAATTGTGATAAGTATTTTAATAATAACAAATATATTTCCTGTTATTTAATAATATGTACTTGGAAACCTACCCTTTCACCTATTTCAGTCATATCCCCAGCAGATAAGATTTCAAGATCTGTTTTCAGACAACAACCTTCAATGACTCTGTTGTATTTCCTCTCACTGAGTGTATGTCCATATAAAATGTTATCTCTAACCGTCAAATTTTGTATCCATGCTTCTTGTGAAATGTATGCCACAGAACCCTGGAATAGTCAAGAATGTTATCTGATGCCCAAGCTGATATTAATTTTGGGCTTAATATTTTCATATTTATAATATTTTATTGTACAAAATTGGAAATGAAGGCATATAAAGAATAATTAATATATGAAAGGATGCACTTCTCCCATCAAAGGTCTTCAATGATAAACGTGATAGTTCACACCTTACATACGAAACATTTAAGAATTGAATGTTTTTTTTTTGTAATTTTTGCATGTTAAGCGTTGCCCGAAGCACGTTTTGTATAAACCGTGGAATTGCATCATTCTAATTATGTGCGCACGATAATGGCTTTTACAACCCTTTAAAACTACAAAAAGAAGCATTAAATTCTTATAATTACATTTTAAAGTTAACCTAATATGATATGTACAGGGTCACTAAATTACAAATGGGGTGAGAGCTCGAGCCCCATAAGATATTTACTGACCCCGTATACATCATATTAGGTCACTAGCATATTATGTAACGAATTTATTTTACAGACTATCTTATTGTGAATTTAGACGTAGTTGTAAACCTAGATATCACAATTGAAAATAAAACACGCAAACTGACCTAATATTAAATATACACGGTTCCCACGTGTTAGCTTTAACCAATTTAGTCGAAGAAGTGTATAGTAGGTACGCTAAATGTAAATGCATGCAAATTCAACTGATAATATTACGCTTATATGTCTGCTTCGATGTAATCGAAAGATAACTAGTGTTTCCACTTTCCTTTTTTGAAAATTGGGCAATATAATATGAATAGGTTAAATCTTTATATCATTAATGATATAAATAGAAAATCCTTGTTATCAAATACTTTGAATAAATGATCTATTCTTTAAGACAACTTACTTACTTTTACTAAAACTTCACCTTCAAGTTTTTCCATCTCTCCTAAGATGCTTGCTATAAAAGATGATTTACCAGATCCCACTTGACCTACGACGGCTATAAGTTTTCCTTCCATGATGTTGACGTTTATTCTAGAATTAAAGGAAGGCCATTTTTAGATCACAGACTGAATGTTGCAAACAGTAAGTGCACTTTTTTCTGTTTGTCATCAGGTTAATTTTTATTTTTTTAAAGAAAAGATAATTTCATTCTTTAGATTGCCTGTTACAATTATTCGTCATGAGGTTAACATTGTTTGTCTTAGTAAAGTTTTATTCTCAAATTAGAACATGCTATTCGTTGCGTTTTGTATTTTGTTTGGTGTCAGGTCAAATTTGAGTAATTGTTTTAAGTTGTGGTGCGGTGTTGTTCGAATTTGATGTTTATTTTAGACATATCTTTGGTCAAGTTACCATATGTTCACATGGAAACTTAAGAATTAGCATTTGCCTGTATTCATGCATAGGAACGTTGTGGTGCGACGTTGATGAAAATTCATGGTTGCTTTCTGCTACAACCTTGATTCATTCAGGTACGTCATTCATACTAACATTAGAATTGAAAATTTGGACACCTGTCCGTCATTTTACTTTTATGTAGAAAGTTTGTGGTGCATTGTTCTTTTTTGATCCAATATTGGTTTATTCAAACATGTTGTGGTTCATTTGTATAAGTATGCTGACCATGTGCTTATATGAAAACGAAAGTGTTGACATAAATACGAATAAAATGACGGGAAGGACTTGAGAAATTCTAATCTAAATTTGAAAAAATGATAATAAAATACACGTTTAATGATAGCTTCAGAGTAACAAATCATGTAGAAGCGACCCAAACAGTAAGTCTCTTCATTTAGTGTGTGATTTCGGTCATTGTCGATCAAACATGTGTATGAATAGTAGTATGAAAATCATAAACGTTTATTTAAAGATTATAGTTGAAATAATCTTTAAAGATACCAGGCTCATAATATTGGTGATTTGTGTAACAAAATAAAAAGGGCTTTATGGGAAATAGTTTAATATTAAAATAAATAAACATATCTATTACATTATTGTTTACAAAGATTATGTTGCCTTATGCCAACATTCACGTTTTTGCTGAAACATCTTGAACATATATCTCTATACATTTTATATATCAACAATTCGATTCACTAATTTGTCAACTGTTTTGAATGGAATTGTTTATATGTTCATTGAAAAAACAATTCTTTGTTTTGGTTATCAAAATAGGTCATTATATTTCATGGTATGTAATGAGTTACGTGTAATGAGTTACGTGTGATAGAAGTCTTTTAACAAAATGTACAGATGTAAGTCCGCTAAAGAGACTTGTGATATTCCATGTCAAAGAAAACCAGATCTGCGAGATTTATCATAGATTAAACATATCTTTAGTTATTCGAATAACGATCAAATATTAACATGAATGAGTTGTGTTTAGTTAGTAGCCCCCTCTAAGCGGTAAATTTGATATGAGGTAGGGATGCAACTCGTTTTGATTTACATAGGCTGGAGAAGATAGAATCCTGTTTTCTGCCTATGTTTTGGTAGCTTTATTTTGTAACATGTACTTGTTGCTTCTCCGAAGGTATCTGTCTTTGTTTTTTGTTATAATCTATGTTACTGTGTTTGTGTTAGTTGATAATTCATGGTCTTGTCTGTGTTTTCTTTTTATGTAATACATTAGAGTCAGAAAATCAATATGTGTCGACCGTTAATGAATTTGAGTTGGTCTTTAAAGGGACATTAGCTGTCAAATTCATGTTCATCGGTTGGACTCAAATTCTCATATTTGATTTCTAACATACTAAAAAGTATACCCGAATTACAAAAAGTCTAAAACTAAACATTTAAAATTGTATGGACTGAATGATTTGTATCAGCTTTCGTGTATAAACTCATCATAGATATTTAAGTCTTGACGCCATCTAATTAACTATCGAGATGACTACCGAAGACTGCCGACGGTCATATAACCCGATATAAACAAACATATTTTGAACATTGGTGGATAGTTGTCTCATTGGCAATCATACCCATCTCCTTATTTTTATAAAAAATAAAAATAGGAAGCGAGCACGTGCAGTTGAATTTTTCTAGATCTGCTTGATTTCTTTAAAAAATTATGTTACTCATCGTTTTTACCTGTATAAGAATGGGTTTTTTTGTGGATCAAATGAGTCAACGTAATGGTTCACCCTTGTTTCACTTTTAATATTGACATTCTTTTCATTTAAATAGCTGAGCACGCCTAGTACATGCATAATCCATCTCTAGCTAAGGGGTTAAAATTGACGGCCACATGAATACGGATTTAATTGAGGTTGAATTATTGACTTGCAAGGCAATAATACATCAGCGATGTTTTTGAGATTATTTCGACAAATTTGGGCCAAACTGACCGCTTAAAACAAAATATTATTTCAAAGTCCTGCTTTTATGAATGCTTGAAGCAAAAAGAATCGTATTTTAAATTTTTGTCAAAATCGTAGCTAATGATCCTTTATATGAAAACTTATTATTGCCTATAATTTTTCAGGAGTTGATTGATCAAACAGCAGGATTCAAGAGTAAGTCTGTAGTAGCCTTAATCACGGCGGTATCTTCCTACTGTCCTCAATGCTCTTCAACTTCGTACTTTTTTTTGGCCTTTTAAACATTTTTTGATTCGAGCGTCATTGATGAGTCTTTTGTAGACGAAGCGCACGTCCGGCGCAAATACAAAATTTCAATCCTGGTATCCATGATGAGTTTATTTACTAACTTAATTATTGCATTAAAATGTATTTATACGTACGTACCCACCTAATGTTGGTCTATCTGTATTTTTCTCCCATGTAAAACTGCCATTCTGTATACGCACAGCGTAATCTGAAAATTAGAAGATTTATTCTAAATGTACTTTAAATTGCAAACTTGTGTTTGTCATTGGAATATTTTTGTATCATCTCGGACCAAAACAAACTAGCTTGTTCATAGAAGTATAAGAAAAGGGAACAGGACCAAACCCAATAATCAATGATTATATATATTTATATATATAGCAAATTTAATTACTTGTTAAAAGATGTGTTGTAGATCATTCGGCGTCCGTCCGTTATATGCATCGAAAGGGTGTGCGCCTTTATTTGTTAAATGAATATCAGTTATCACTCACTGACATTTCTTCTCGGTTCTTAACCAGTTTATTTTATGAGTTATACATTTTCACTGTAAAATTGTCTGTGAAAAAGTAAAGTAACGGAATATAAAATTGAGAATGGAAATGGGGAATGTGTCAAAGAGACAACAACCCGACCATAAAACAGACAACAGCAGAAGGTCACCAACAGGTCTTCAATGCAGCGAGAAATTCCCGCACCCGGAGGCGTCCTTCAGCTGGCCCCTAAACAAATATATATACTAGTTCAGTGATAATGAACGCCATACTAAACTCCAAATTGTACACAAGAAACTAAAATTAAAAATAATACAAGACTGACAAAGACTAGAGGCTCCTGACTTGGGACAGGCGCAAAAATGCGGCGGGGTTAAACATGTTTATGAGATCTCAACCCTCCCCCTATACCTCTAGCCAATGTAGAAAAGTAAACGCATAACAATACGCACATTAAAATTCAGTTCAAGAGAAGTCCGAGTCTGATGTCAGAAGATGTAACCAAAGAAAATAAACAAAATGACAATAATACATAAATAACAACAGACTACTAGCAGTTAACTGACATGCCAGCTCCAGACTTCAATTAAACTGATTGAAAGATTATGTCTTCATCATATGAATATCAGGCACAATCCTTCCCGTTAGGGGTTTAGTATCATACCATCATAACATATATGAGAAGAACATAAGAATATGTATATTTTTCAATGGCAAGTCCATGTGCTTAATTTTCAGAATGATCAGTCGTCAAATAAAGGCCAATTATATATGATAAAAAAGCCTTAAAAATAATGGTTTTAAATGTATTGTTCTATCTAAATGTGTCGGATATCTTTTTTAAAGAAAGTACTAGTTTGTTCTTCATATTTTTGTGCTTCCATATTTTCGGATGTCTTTTTTTTCAGTCGAAAAAATTCCACAATTGTCGTATGTAAACCTACCTGATGCTGTAATGTATTGAACATTGTGTGGATTGACATCGTCTGTCAATAAAAACTTTTGGATTCTCTTGGTAGAAACAAATGCCTGCGTGGAAATGTGAATATATATGGCATTTATATTAACTTTTGTGATTATCAAACTTTAAAGAATATATCTTTATCCTGAGAACTGATAGAAAAGACAATTCCAGTTAAATTAATACATAAAGTATAGATTAGAGTGTAAAGTCTTTCCAAATTGATGGTGTTAACAGTTTTAGTCTAAAAAAAAACTTCTCATCCGAAAACAATATACAGTCTTACTTTATGGATTCAGCAAACACGGCTGATGAAAATATTCATGTTTTAACCTCCAGTGTTAAAGGGAATCATACTTAAGACAACTTGGGTTAACACTCATCGGAATAACTCAAGTGGTCAAAAAAGACTTTATCTAGCTGTCAGCCACTGCGATTACTTCCAGATTTGTACTTAAGTGTCTTTTTTGTTGTGGGGATGTATAAATACCCTACAACGTCCGGTCTGTGTTTTTGTTCTGTGTCTTTTTGCTTTGTATCAATCTGATTTTTATAGTTTGTTCTTATGTTGTACTGTTACACCACTATCCCAGGTTAGGGGAGGGTTGGCGCCTTCAAACTAGTTTAACCCCGCCACATACTGTATTTGCCTGTCCCAAGCCAGGAGCCTGTAATTTAGTGGTTGTCGTTTGTTGCTGTATATCATATTTGTTTTTTATTCATTGTTTTGTACATAAATCAGGCCGCTGGTTTTCTTTTATAGCTAACTATGCGGTATGTGGTTTGCTCATTGTTGAAGGCCGCACGGTGACCTATAGTTGTTAACTTCTATGTCATTTGGTCTCTGGTGGAGAGTTGTCTCATTGGCAATCATAACACATCTTCTTGGGTTTTTTTTCATTGTCAATATTCAGCTGTTAAACTCCAGTGGAAAAAAGGGCGTCAATGTTAAACGATGTTTGTTTACAATAAAAGAAATTACGACAATTATTTTAACCAAAATATTCAATTCTTTTACTACAACACTTCGCAAGAAATATATTATTATTGACAATAATACGTAAATGTAAAAGTCAAGTGGTAAGAAAGGGCCTCAGTGTTAATTGACTAAGGAAAATACTGGGCTATAAAACTCAAGTGGTAACAAAGGGGAGCATGTTAAATACAACTTAGGATACCACACAGTGGAATAACTCCAGTGCTAACAAAGGGTGTCAGTGCTAATCTAATCAGGAAAGTACTCAGCTAGTAACACATGGGATCATTGTAAATACAACTTGGGATAACACTCAGCGGACTAACTACTGTGGAGGTACCGATGTTCAAAGTCGTAATTCGATAAGGAAGAGTCTAATCATGGTATTAAAGAAAAATTGAGTGAATCGCATGAACTCCAAAAGGAGCGAGACAGGGAGTGTCGAAAGGGTAAGAGTCTCCTGTTATGCATGCACCACCCACCAAACTAATTCACAATCAGTCAAAACAAAACAAAGGCATCATTATTAAACGACGTTTGATAATACCCACCTGTATAACTCCTGTGATAACAAAGGGGATCATTGTCAGTGGGAACCTTAATATATTGACAACGGACAATGCTAGAAAAGCTTTTGCAGCATTAAATGGTTCTGTGGTAGATGTTAGGGTATATATCAGTAAAATGGAAAGGTTCATCTGAAATGAAACACAGATTTAAGTTCATCAAATTCGTACATTCGTGCAATTCCGCAATACTTATTCATTCAAAGACCCTATATAATCATAAATTCTATATTGCATTACAAATCCAAAAAAACATATTAAAACAATAAATGCAAATGTAGTTTTGTAGTATACACCAATATAAAAAGTCGTAAACCATACTTTGAAAAGAATATACAAGGAAGTATGTGGAACCTTATTTGACCTTTAAAAAATAGTTCCCATTTCTTTTAATCTAAACTTTAGGGTCTTTCAAAAAGTAATCATATTCACAGAGACCGAAAGAAGATATAAATTTAAAAAGACTGAATGTAATGTTTTGGTGTTTATTTCGCACTGTAAATTTGAAATATCTATGATAACATTTATATGTAAGATCACATTTATAAATAAATAAGAGAGTTTATCACAAAATATTAAAACATAAGATTTTGCTTTAAGACGAAATTTGTTGTGGAATGAACATACATCAGGAATGCCCAAAATGATTGAAAAAAAATAATAACACCTCCTTAATAATGTTTTTATTTCGGGAAATGGTTACTTTTATTTTGTGTTCCAAAAGGTCGTTAATTTGAGCAATTTCCAAATTTCACTGACTGAACTGTCATTGTGTGGGTGTACAACATGTAAAAAGGAAATGTTTCAAACATGTTTTAAAAAGACTTCTCGTTTGAATTGTTTTACATTTGTCATTTCGGGGCCTTTCATAGCTAACTATGCGGTATGGGCTTTGCTCATTGTTGAAGGCCGTACGGTGACCTATAGTTGTTAATTTCTTTGTCATTTGGTGTCTTGTGGAGAGTTGTCTCATTGGCAATCACACCAAAAGTTTTTATATTATAACTTAATTTATTTTGAACTCAAGAACCATAAACTATTCCATGTTAGTTTTGTATTATATCAAAGTAAACATATTTTGAATTAAAGTCTTTTTTTCTGAAAAACACGTCCTTACGCAAAGTGTCCTGTATAAAAGATTCGGCAGCTATTCAATTCTGATTCGATGTCAAAACATTTTGGGATAATAGATAATTGTTTTGATATGTTTTTTTTTGTATATGTCTTTTACTGCAACCTTTTTTTAATTCAAGGTCATAACATTACACTCATAACATTACACTATATATAACTACGTAAGCAGTCCAAAATTACCATAAAAGGACTGTGTGCTGCACAAATAATTGAACATGCTGTTACACGTGCTATTTTGCGAAGTATAGCCATTTCTTTCAATCTGATTGCTCGAATCTTTTTCGAAAAATATGGTTCCCAAGCGTACATTTTTATAACCTGTAAAATATTAGAAAATATATATATATATATATATATATATATATATATATATATATATATATATATATATATATATATATATATATATATAACCAGTCTAAAAGGGTACAACATCACCAAAAAATGACAATAAACGAACAAATGTAACTATAAATATTTCGGATAACAGATATCCTTCATCAATATGAGCACGATGTAAAATGAATCAGATAAATGTATTCTGATTATTAAACTATAGCAATCTTGAATTCTATACAATAAAAAAAAGTGAAACAGTTTCACCCGAACATCATATGTAGAGACGCTAATAAATTTTTAAAATTTCCAAAAAACGACTCAAAGACATGCCTAAAATGAAAATAGTAATTATAGATATGAACTGGCACAACTTTAAAATTCCAAAATGACGTCAGTTAAGATGTTACAACAACTGCGTGTAAATACATTCCCAAAAGAACAGCACTGATCGATATAAGCTGGTAAAATATGACAAACAGAGGCTGCGTATTTATCATTCCAAATAAATAGCAGTTTTATAATGAAAAGAAAAAATAATAGTAAATTTGGGCTAAGGTTAAAAGTTGGACGTGGATGCGTACTTGTATATCCCTACCAAATGAAAAGAACCCTGGTATTTAAACTAGTAAAATTCCAAAAATTCCAAAAGAATCCTTAAAACTGTAAGAGTCAAGTAAGGAAGCCGGAGTAACTGGAAACAAATGATGTCAGGAAAATGAGTGAATGTAGGGAAAATGAGTGACTCATTCTATGTTTTTTCATTTATGCCCTCTGGGGAAACTGTCCTTAGCTTTCTTATCCAAAACCTTTCCCGAGCAAGTCTTTCGGCCCTTGACCAACCCTCGTTGTGGTCTATGATTGTGATTGTAAGGTTTTTGAGATCAGCTTGGGCGTGCCCAGGTGATCTCAAATGACGACTTACGGGGAGGTCGGGCTTGATATATATATATATATATATTTAAACAAGTCTAAATTGAAAACAACGTTCATACCTATGATTGCGTTGGATAAAAACCGCAATTTTTATACGTGTGCATGCAAAACAAATTTCTTGTTAGATGGGTCTAAATACAGCACAAACAACATTTTCCAAAAGACCAAAAAAGTGAAAAAGTATATCTTAACAAAACGCATTTGACTAACAGGTCGAACAACAAATGTTCTTAAACCCTGCTGACTGCCATTGGCGATTGCCAAATAAACGGATCACCGATGTAATAAATGGATCTTAATTATAAATTTAATACTAAACAGAAAACAATAAACTTGCGGAAAAGAGGTACAAAGGTTTATATACATATGTCGTAACTGAATTGTGTAAGAGTTATATTCACATATAATAATCTATCACAAACATTTATTATTTTATCATTAAATTCATTGTCGTTTTGAAGGTTTACTGGCATCCTGTTGTTTACTTTATTTTTTTTCAGTTTTTTGTCATTTCTATTACTTTTTCAAAGAGTAGAATATTCAATTCTTTTACAACACTTCGCAAGAAAGATAAAGAAACTTTATTTTCTCGCAAAAACAAAAATAAAGTAATGCAAAGTCTTGTTTAAAAAAATACGTAGGCAAATCTTTCTTTATTTGTGAAATTTGTTTTATTATATATCATTTATTGACAATTGATTTCAAGAACTAATTTCTTAAATTTACGTCGGTTAATATAATAAAAAGTAATTGTACATAACCGCCGTCAGGAAGATCAATACGTATTATACCTAAGATTTCATTGCGCAGATGTATTAGATACAATACAAAGGTAACAAAGAAACAGGCCGGTAACAACCGTTGTCGGATAGTTTTTCTGCACGAGAAGTCAGGTGAAGGTCCGAGGCGATAGCCGAGGACCTTGACCTGACTACAAGTGCAGAAAAACTATACGGCAGTTTGTTTCCGGCCTGTTTTTTGTTACCTTTGTTTTGTATCTGACTTGTACGACGTTTCAAGAAAGTAGTAGTACATTTTGCATTTAGAAGTGGTAGCAAAATTAAACAGATTAGAAACTTAAATGGCCATATACCAGTTAATGTAAGTTACAGTTTAAACAAACTTTTTTTTCACTTCCCTTTAGCTGAGAGGTTTTTCTCAAGAAATTCAAGAATCTAATAATTTTATAAAAAAAGAACCATGTCAAGTAAAAGATGAATGTCGTACACATTTGAGACTTTTAAATGCAGCTGCGCAAGTAAGTAATGTATGAAAAAGATTTAAGAGGTAAGCAAGCTAACATTTGATTTTTATTTGGGGACAAACGGAAAAGGGGGGGGGGGGGGGGTTAAAATAAATTTATCTAAACAGGCTGGATCCTTTTTTATGTTGAAAAAATGCAGGATGTGCCATTCCATTCCCCTTTAAAAAATACTAAAAATCGTACGTTTGCTCCCAAATATATAAATTCAATATTTAGGAATTCAATATATATGAATTCAATATCAAAATAAATGTATAAAAAGAATGAATTTCCTATTTCATTAGTAAATGAAATGTTATGAAATAATGGGTTTTGTCTTGTTATTAGATATATATAGGCATATATTTTGGATTTAAAAAAAAAATCATGCTTATAGGTTTTTATATGTCTCTAATAGTGTTGATCATGATTAAACACGTGTCACAATATAATCCAATCGCAGCTTACCGTCGAAAATTGGTGACATAAGTTGAATGATTTTCTTCAAGATTTGCTGCCTATTTGAACATGTATTACACGGACACTTTTTATCTATAGGATCAATCGTGCATTGGTGAGTTGATAGGGATTTTATCTTTTGATTAGATTTGATTTTTTTTATATATATTTCTTGTCTTTTTTATTGAAATGTGAACGTCGGTACCAGCATTTCTCTACTTTCAGCATTGTCCAGAATACTATTCATGTCCATATATTGAAGAAGAAAAAAATTACATTTACGGACCGACCATTTAGCTTCAAAAGGGGGGTATGTTTTCTTCTGAGTAAGAAAATTATTTAGTTTTTCAACGCTATCATCCAAATATTTTTTTTCGAAATTAGCACTATTATAAACGGTATTCAGAAAATCAGGAATCAGAACATTATTTTGTCATCTGATTGACCACAATATATTTTTTCTCATAAAATTGGGGATCAGACTATTTTTTTTAGGAAAAACCATAACCCCCACTTTTGAAGTTAAATGGTCAATCCCTTAGTGTACTGATATGAATAGTAAAATACTGGAATTGTTTAAAAAAAATTTAGTTATTGATACCAACGTAAATATTTTAATAAAAAAGACAGGAAATATGTCGGTGAAACAAAGAGTTCAAATCTAATTGAAATTTAAAGTGCCCTTGAACTCACTGATCATGCACGAGTGATTCTATTCATAAAAAGTGTCCGTGTAACAACTAAAAAGTGTCCGTGTATCATCTAAAAAGTGTCCGTGTAACACCCGTTAATGTACTGTTTTTCTATAGCTCTGCTGGGGGCAAAGTCGTACAAGTCACTTTAAATGATATACGTATTATCTTTATTAGTTTTGATTTTGTTGGAACTTTTATTGGGTCCGCGTGTTGGTATATTTGAGAAATAAAAAACAAACATACAAAAACGAAAAATAATTCAAAAATTCTTATGAATATAATAAAATTACATTTTATAAAGGGCCATTAATAGTCAAGGAACAGTTATCTTCAGTAAATGGATACCGTCATCTTGCAGTCTATGAAATATCTGTTTCACAGATGACGGCTGATATGTTCCAATTACCGTAATCACAGTCTCTTCCTCATTTCCTCGATTGTAACCTACCGAATCAGACTTATCACCGGGTTTGTACTTACAAGAGCAATACGACGGGTGCCGCGTGTAGAGCATTATCTGCTTACCCTTCCGGAGCACCTGAGATCATCCCCAGGTTTTTGTGGGGTTCGTGTTGCTCAGTATTTAGTTTTCTGTGTCGTGTTTTTATATGCTATTGTTTGTCCTTTGATCGTTTTTCGTTTTTTTGCCATGGCGTTTTCAGTTTTTCATCGACTTAAGTGATTGTATATCCCCTTGATATCCTCTGTGTCTCTTTTGTGCAATAACGCTGGTCTATTCAGACTTATATTTTCCTTCATTTGAAATTTTCTACTTTGTTTCATCTGATTGAGCTATGGACATTCCAAGTTTTCTTGTGTTTTTAACACGTCGTGGAAAGAGAAACGTATGGGTCATGATGACATCGCTTTATGACATCCTCAATTAATGCTTTGATTGCATGTGTTATATATGTAGTATGATTAGTATTAGTGGTAAATACCATTATTTGTTCGAATGCACACTTTTGGAAATGGAAAAAAAAATGTGCAACCTGATGAAGTTTTTAAGAAACCACACACTATGAATCTTTATGAATTATTCAATAATAGTAATTATGATGGTTATGTTAGAATAGCCAAATTTTGTAAAATTATATTATCTGTTGTAATTGAAGCAGTTAATATATTTACTATTTAACTTTGAAAACATTATATAAAATTATGTCATTCTTTTAGATAAATAGTGTTTGACACTCCTTGCATTATGTTTTGTCCTGTGTGCGTTGTGTGTTTGTTATCACATAATCCAGTTGTGTCTTTGAGAAATCAAAGTTTTATGTATTAAGTTTGAAAATATACAGACATAATTTCAGACAAAGTAATAAATAAGCTTGCTTTAGTATGCAAAATTGTTTTATTAGAACTCATAAAGATTCAGAGACGTAAAAGTAAGGTATAAATTCTTCTTCAATACAGTGTAAATTGTTGATTTCAAGTGACATAAATTCGTAATAAGTGCAGATTTAGAGAACTAGAAAAGGGAGAAAATCTTCCAAATAAATGACAGGAGTTACGGTGCGTTCAGTTCATTTGATATACCTTCTTCCCTTCTCGCAACACGATAGCAAATGTATGGGATTAATGTATATTCTATCATTTAGTGGCTAAATATTCCTAGAACCGTAACATATCACACAAAAATCAAGTAACTCGCTTTTCGTTTCTAATAAATATAGTTAAAGTCCGAGTTTATGGTATTTAACCTCTTAAACTTTTTGTACCCCTTCATACGCTACAACATTAAGTCGAAACGTAGTTCCTGTTTTACAATACTAAAAGAAACTATGAATGTATGGCGGTAATAGGTATAAGACCAGTATGTATACTCTTAATCATTATTTAGTTTATATTAAACACAGTATGTACTTGTATGCAGTTTGCTAGATTAAGCTTTTAAACATGAATAATTATATGATTAATATTGGCATCAAACTGTATGCATGTTTAGTTCAGTATATGATTGTGTTTATCCCTAACGCAAAACAAATAAAAAAAAAACAAACATGGCCTTACCTTCATTCCAAATATGATTTCATTTAATAGTTTACATCGTTTTCCCTTGTAATATAAAATGTTCATCATGTATTTCTGTTGTAATTTTCCAAAAAGAGCATTTAGACAAGTGAGAATAAATATGACCAGTAAGCATCCTAATGTAGCAGCTCCCATTACATTCCACAGTTCATACACACCAACTATCATTATAAAAAAGAATGACAATATCTCATGGGCATAGGAGAATGCATCTTGGATACGTTGACAGTCCACTGAAACCAGGTTGACAACTTCTCCAACTGTGTAATCTTTTCTCACATTGCTGCTTACTTTCAATGTCTTTAATGAAAATTAAAAAAATAACTCATGAATGTTTGTTTTTTTTTTTTATCAATAACTACAGTCAGCTATGCTCTTTAACAATACAGCAATGGATGTAGCATAAAGGTATCTAATAATATTAAAGAACAATTTTTGTACAAAAAAGAAGAAAAAAATCAAGTTCTGATTGTTTGGATGTAAAGATTATTGCTTCAGATACCTGTTTCTTTGCTTCAATGCAATTTTCACACATTTTGGGTATTTTTTTAACAATTTGTATCTTTGTCTACTAATCTGATTGTATAGTCATTGTTTATAACATAAACTATTAAAAAATCTAAAATCGTTTAGCCAGGTTTTTTTCTGCTTGAGATGCACTAAAACAGGAAAACATACAGCAATTATCCCAACTTTTGACGTTTAGGCTATATTTACTTACGCTATAATGTAACTCGAAATATTTTTATTTTTCTTAAATAGCAATAGCAGTATGTGATGTAGAATATAGAACTGACAAGAAACATGAAAACAGAGAGAAACATCAAGGAACTACAATATATGTTACCTTTCTGTAAATGACACCAATTAGTGCTGTTTTGACTTTTAATCCTAAAGTGACCATGATTTGTGATGAATGAATGTAAAACACAGCATTCAACTGACCAAACAGAAACAAAAGTACTGCTAAAATTATTCCATACCACAATACTCTTTCTTCTGCAGGCTTCTCGGTCTCATTCACTATAAGTCTAAAATATGGTAAGTTTCAATCAGTTTTTGGTTCTTTCGTTGGCAATGATTCGAAATGCAAAGATCAAACCAAACGCAAGGATTCAAGCGAACCTGATGAAGTTTATACAGAGATGCCCTTAATACTGAACAAATTAACAATTGCCTGAATATGTGGCAATTCAAATCAGCATTATGAAATAACAAGAATAAAAACAGTTTACAATATACTACAAGCTTGAGATTAGGGGACACAAACCCAATCAAAAACCGGAGGGTTGTGAACTCATCAGGTGCTTCGAACAAGTCAACAGCTAAACCCAGCTTATGACATCCGTCTCCAATATCCAATGTGAAAAGGTATTGTCTGTGATCACGCTTGAATTAATAAATGTCTCTTGTAAAATCCTTACACATAACCTAATTCAAATTTATCAGAACATTATTTACCTAAATAGTGACCGATGTGAAAGTTTGTAATGAAGCTAACCGTTTTGGTAAACAGAACTTGCAACTCTCTATTAGCAGAACTGAAAGTTCGAGATGAAAATAGAAACGACAAGCACAATATTACTAGCAACTTCCAGGCAAATATTCTTAGGTATTTACTATTACGCGGAATTTGACACATTTTATTGAAAAATCGTTTAGGAAAATAAAAATTGTTTCCTTATAATAATACTTTATTACTCGGGCAACATAAACATTTGTACCACTACAACTATTATTCCCGAAAAAAATCAGGAAAATACCATTTTTTACGATATTTTGTTTTTTGTTCATCTTTCTTGTATAATTAAACTAGTTCTAATTCTCCAGTGCAACTGACTGGATTGATAGACAAAAACAACCAAAACTTTCTAGAAACATTTTTTTAATGCCAAAAATTCTAATTTATCAAATGCTTGTAGCTGAAAAAGCACAATGACCTATTTTTAGTGTGTTTGCCTGATGTTTATCTCTTTGAAAAAAGACGTCACTGGCCAACATGTTGATTGTTTTTAGATTTCAACAGCTAAGCGAATGATGATTACAGTGTGCTTACTTGAGAATTAAAGGCTGCAATAAAGTTGAGAAATCACAACAAAGTTTCAGACATGCTCCACGAAACCATTCAAATCCATACAGTTGAAAACAGCATTTATATAGTGATGGATTTTGTCGATCTTGTTCGTCTTCATCCTCAGAAATGTTGCTTTTTAATAGCGCTGTCTTTTCTCCAGGTGAGGTACCATTTTTACAATACTGACTTCTGTATGAACTATTATGTCTAAAAAAAAATTCAATTCAACAAATATTTAGGCTTATAACTGAAAATAATTAACAAACTATAACATATGCTGTACATGATATAACTGTAATACAATCTTTTGAAAGAGTTTAAATTCATAAAAAAAACATACTCTTATAATTACCATGTCTTCAATTTTGAATTAATTGCTCTTCAACTTAATGTCGTTTTCATTGTCTATAGTTTGGTTCCGGTATTAAATATGTATAGAAACTTATATAAGTAAAGTACCTCCTTCGAATTTTAATATTTTCTTGGGCTGCCCAACGCAACTGTAAATCGTTAACTAGACTTTCTGCCTGAAGCTCTGGATGTTGATCCCATAGGTCATCTTTACTTATTGTCCGTTTGTAGCAAGTTCGAACAATTCTAAAAAATATTCAAAGAATGTCGTTTCATATTTGCAAGTATTAAAAACATAATATAGATTTCTTTATAAGTTTATTGTACAATATATTATGGATTGCATCTAATACAAACACTAGAAATTTTCAATGTAAAGGCATTCATTATATGTCCCTTTAGCTGATAATAACTTAGATAATTTAACTTTCTAACCAAAACACCGAAAGAGAATTCTGCTTTCATGTGACTGTTATTATTCGTCCTCCAACAAAAGATTTTCAGTCATTCCAAAAGAGGACAGGTGGCCTTAGACCTATATTACAATTTCTTAATATTTTGCACATTGTAAGGAGGATGTCAGATAACTTCTCTTCCAACAGGTTGGGGAGGATCCTCATCAAGGGGTACTATCCCCATTTATGGGTATTATACTTAGAATGGGTATCAATTTACATTGGTAAAATTCGAAATTTATATTTCATCATAATGACTGTCATGGCATATAAATGGCAATATTTAACCCTTTAAGACTATAGTTCAAATCAGAACTGAATACATTTAACCGTTTAAGACTATAGGTCAGTCAGAACTGAATACAAAGATAATGGCCTCCAAAAATCCTACTTGTTCATGGCTATTAACTTTTATCCAGATGATATTTCAGTCATGGTATCTTCGGGCAAAATGTTGTCATTTACTTGAATGCTTGTGCCATGACAGCAAATATCTTGATATCTAAAGTTTATATTCTTATCACTGACAATTGATACCTGTTTTTGGGGTATACGCATCATCGTTTGTTTATAAAAATATGTTTCCGTGTATATTCATAAGTTTATTTATAACTGCCTTAATCTAGTAAAACAGTTGGTGCACTTACCACGTCGTCAAATATACTTATAAAAACATAAAAAAAATATGAATTGAGTGAAATAAAAGTAATACAGAAATAAAGAGGAAAATAGGGAGGACCCTTTAACAATCATATAAAATACGTAGGCTTATTTGTCTGCCATTTAAAATTGTTTAGACTAAAGTGCAATTTTAAATGGCAAAATTAACTAGCTATACCTATGATGAATTTTGCAATACTCAATACTGACTTCTTGGTACTAAACACTTAGTTCAATACTTACGGTGTAAACCACCAGAAAAACAGCCTTGAGAATACTGATGAATATGGCTTCGGACATACTGGCTGTAAACAGGAATTATGAATTTTTATTTATTCTCATTGATAAATTTACATTATCATCACTATACTATTTTTGTTTATAGAGAATTTAGAATATTTCATTTAACAAAGGCGGCTAATGACAAAGTAAAATTAATGAAGCACTATATTTAGTATTCAGAAACATAAGATGGCACTACATGTGCAATAAAAAAATAAGTTATATAACAAAAGCTCGCGTATAAAGCACATTATGTTCCTTTTGTACACACACCATTGTTATGTTACACGTTATTGTCGTTTCTTCATTGCCTGTTCAGTCGTTGTCTCTTTGAAATAGTTAGTCCTCATATTACCGGTAGTTATATTCTATACCATAATATTTAATGAGGCTATGTAAACATCAATGAAACAACATTAAATAGTTTTATTTCCAAATAAGCTCCGCATGATTGCATTTAACACATATGATGAAAATGAAACACGGAACTGTAAATCAGAAAGAGCGAGAGAGACCTACGAAGTATATTTCAATACACCAATTGGTATGTGAAGGTATAGAATAAAATGTTACATGTTATTTCTAAAATGTTCAAATGATATAATAAGGTCAAAAGGTGAATTTGCAGCATCAGTTTTAGTAAGTAATACAAGTTTGACACATTTTACGATAAAAAAAACATTCTGAACAACATGTTTAAATCCTATTATGTATAGGTAATAGTCAAAAGTAACAAATAGCAAAAATACCGAACTCCAATGAAAATTCTAAACGGAAAGTCCTTTATCAAATGGCAAAATTAAAAGCTCAAACACATCAAACGAATGGAAAACAAATGTCCTATTCCTACTTGGTACAGGCATTTCCTTGTGTAGAAAATGGTGGATTGAACCTGGTTTTATAGCTAGCTAAACCTCTCACTTGTATGACAGTCGCATATAATTCAATTATATTGACAACAATGTGTGAGCAAAACAAACAGACATAATAGGTAAAATTGTCAAAAATTGGGGTACAGCAGTCAACATAAAGTCATTGAGTTATGATCTTAATCACTTTTAAAAAAAATAACTATTTCAACAAAGAAGAACAAAATGGCATATAGACACTCTATAGACAAAGTACATAACAAAAATGAAAGACAAGAATACAAAAAATGACCATAGCACAATAACACAATGGCGGGATGTATAAATACCGAGCCACGACAAAAGTATATTACCAAAAATGGAATAAAAGCAAAAGTTAAAAATAAACAAAGGCAAATAAAAAGAACACTATAAAACGTAATTAAGATGATAAACAACGTCAGTACCTAAAAGCTATACTTCAAGACCATGTATTATTTGTGAAGTTGATACGGAATATTTATCAACAAGGTATTGGTATCTTCCGATGAACTTTTTTAGAAAAAGGACGATACGTTCTCGTTCTTTGACATAAACCTGGTTCGTCAACTTTCTGCTCAGACACTGGTGGCGTTTTATAAAGTCTGAGTAGCAGTTGCAAGCTCGTGAATACCGAATTAGTTGGGAAATGTATATCACACATGCAGGTGAAGTTGGTATATTGCTGCTAAGGTGGGGGAAATTTATAATTTCAAAAATAAAATCGTATCGTTTGTCATAGATTCAGGGATTGTACGATATCTCCTCTTTAATTCTAAAAAATTTCCAAATTCATATATTATCAGTCCATGTTCATGACCAAAAGTAAGTGTTTTGATAAGACATAACCAGTTCCAAGTCAAAATATAGACAGGATTGTGATCAACAGGGATAATAACATTAACGGTATCAATTTTTAACATCAGATGCGTATTTCGACAATAAATGTATTCAGTTATGCTCGAGGCCAAAATATCTTGTACACTCAAAAGTACAAAGCGTAACAGTCATCGCTTACGCTTTTCACTGACAAAGTTTTGCTTTTAAATTTAGACCGAAGTGTTTAATTATGTCACTGCAATACTAAGCAAATATACCTTTCCTATTCTTTGGTACCCGTAAACACTTGGACTTTCAGCTAAACTGTATAATATAACTTGAACACATGAGAATCCGAAACTAATATACTGTAATATACTACTAAGACATGACGGCTGAAAACATAAAGTTATTGCATGTATCAAGTGATGTTTTATTAGGTAAAATCGCAATAGTTCGAAACTAATATACTTTAATATATACCACTGAAAACAAAGAATTATAATTAATATCTGTCAAATGAAATTTACCGATGTTAAAATTTCACAAATCGATCAAGAAAACAAATCAAGGTAACAAACAAAAACCGAGGGAATCGAATGTACTCCAAAATGAGCGACATCGGATGTGTCGACAGGGTAACAGTTCAAAAACATATCCTCAACCCATTGTCATTGTATTTGAGATATTAAAGAAAGTGTGTTTATAAACGAACGTGTTTCGTATATTTATACTATTAAGTTTACTTAATGATACAAAATATCTTGCATATTTTTAGGTGAAACATACTTTAGGTTGTTAAATTTGTCACGTCTGTGCTTAGTACCAATTGCAATTGAAACTAGTGGTTACGAGAATGTAAATGTAAAAGTTAGAGGATGTTTAACTGATGAATTTGAAGACGAAAAATATGTTTTGTCTAATTTTGCTGTATATGCAGATATCATTATTGTTTAAATCCTGCTAGTATTGTTGATAAGATTTTTGTTATATATGCCCGATATTGAAAAGTCTTTCACAAATGAAAGCATAACGTTTTAAACAGTGAAAAATCTGCAATGACATTTTGTTGAATGGAAAGTGTATTTTATACTCGTGATGGTTGACTTGCATTTGTATATAAAGTGTTTTATATTCTCTCATAACTCTTATAGAGTGGCTCTTGTAATATCTTTTGTGTTTATTAAATG